TGGTAGGGTTTTGGAACCTTGAACATGTTTGAAATACCTTTGCACCGTCAGTCTTCATGACCAGCGTCCATCCCCCACCACCGCAGTCTCCAAGCTCCCCACTCATGGAACAGTACACAGACACATCTTTATCGCCTAGCTTGAGGTCATACGCTTTGTTTGGGCTGGCACTAATAAGAGAGTATCAGTGTGTTATGTTCTTTGAATCCTACGCGGTAGTTCTTTGGAATGTCACGCAACACAAAAAAGAAGCAGTGCAGCGTGACATCGTAAAGAATACGTGCGGAGAAGTTTTTTCTTGGCTTGGCGCTATTGCGGTCAATAGGAATACTACTGAGATAAGCAAAATCAGGGTTAATAGGACGGAGACGTCTTAAAATTTCCAACGGGTGAGGGCTTGTTACATGTGCAGCCAAACAGGAGCTCAGAGCCGCGCTAGCAGGATATCAGAGAACAAAACCAACAAATCCAGTCTACTTTATATTCTCTTGAATCACTCACACAATTCCTGGTATCGATTAGGAAAAATACAAATCTCTGGATAAAAACCGGAACTCTCTGTCTGAGACATAATAGAGCAGTCAATAGTCACCAGGCTGGAAGGGGAAAAGAGAAGGGGGGGAATGTCGGAGAGTTAAGGCGGAACACAAGGTTTTTAAAGAGCAACCGAGGGGGGGGGTGGTCAGTCTACGCTATCAGAGTATAAAAGGGGGACTGTAGAAATTTAATTGCCAATGAGGGAGGGTCATCAGATAACCACAGAGCCTGAGGGGGCTAAGATAAATTTTACAATGACCCCTGTAGGTGATTAATAATTACTGATCCTTAGATGCAACCGCGACGAGATGTGAAATTCTCAACTGGCATAAATTATTTTGCGTTCAAATTTTGGATGCATGTTTTTCTTTTTTCTCTCTTTCTTTTTTTTCTTTTCTTTTTTTTTTTTTTCCTAGCTTTTTACAACGTTGTTTTCTTTTGCGCACCCTTCTTGTAAAAGTATTTTCACGATATGTTTTTTTGCCATCCACCCTGCTCAGGCACAAATTTAACGATCGTTCGTTCCTTACCTGTCTTTGTCGTATATTTCTTTGCAGGAACTCGGGGGCGTGATAGGCTCTGCAGGTATGAGATGAGAAAAACTATAAGGCAATCAGTCATAACTGGATAAATGTGGATTTTCCAAACTATGTTAACAATAACTTTTAATCCAACCAAAATTCAGAACCGACGGACCGACAAAGCGGTGACGTTAAAAACAACAGAAACGATCTTCTACATCTTACTTGGTACACAGCAGTCCTGTTTCTTGTTAACCAGGTCCTCAAGATCTGACAACTTTTCCAATATTTGGCTGCAAAGTTTTTTTTTTTTGCCAGCAACAGCGCCAATTGCGAGATAAACCAGAAAGATGAGCGCACAAAATTTCATCGCTTTCGTCTTCTCACTGCCTTGAATACACTTGATTTCAGCGAGACTCGATGATTAGTGAGGATGTTTTAACAAACGCCAACTTTTAAACACATGAATCGCCGCTGACATTTTCTACAATTTCACCGTACTTGAGTTTATACTCAAGCCTTATGATTTGTTGCGAGAATTTCTACATTCATCGGACTTATCTTAAGAAGCTATTTTTACCAATTTTCTCTAACCAACTGACCAATAGCAATTCTGATTCATAATGGTATTCATGCTTTAGACAAAATTCGAATAACCATAGATACTGACGACGCAAGAGCCAAAGTAGTTTATCAAATCTTTCAAGCCTAATTATGATGGCAAACGTGATGTGTGATTAAGGCCAAAATTAATGCGACACACGAAATTTCCTTTAAGGCGAGCGTTATTCGTTCGTTAATAAGTTATGTAAGTAATTCATCAAATCTTTCAAGCCAAATGATAATGGAAAACGTGATGCGTGTTTAGGGCCAAAATTAATGCGACACACGAAATTTCCTTTAAGGCGAGCGATAATGGCAAACGTAATGCGTGTTTAGGGCCAAAATAAATGCGACACGTGAAATTTCCTTTAGGGCGAGCGTTATTCGTACGTAAAGTTATGTAAGTAATTTATTAAATCTTTCAAGCTAAATGATAATGGCAAACGTGATGCGTGTTTAAGGCCAAAATTAATGCGACACGTGAAATTTCCTTTAAGGCGAGCGTTATTCGTAGGTTAAGTTATGAAGTAATTCATCAAATCTTTCAAGCCAAGTGATAATGGCAAACGTGATGCGTGTTTAGGGCCGAAATTAATGTGACACGTCAAATTTCCTTTAAGGCGAGCGTTATTGTACGTGAAGCTATGAATCAGCGTTAGGCGTGATTTGCTGCCTGAAATATAAGTGACCCGTGAATTTTTACTTTCATTTCGTGAAAATCTTAGCACGCGAGTTTCCTTTTTGAATTTGTGAGTGTGAATTTCCTACAATTCGTGCGTGAAACGGGGCCAGGATTTTCCAAAATGAGTAATGGCTGTCGGTATACTAAAGAAATATTACTTTAAGCGTAGGAAAGGTCATTATGATTTTAAAATTCATATGATGACCACTCCTTCCGTTAAAAAATCACTAGCCTTGCAATTTTTCTTTATGCAAACTCGAAATTTCGTTTTTTTTTTCTTTTTTTATGAGTTGCAAACTTTTCTTTTTACTACACTGATTTCGGTTCTTTAGCCTCGGATTCTTTTCCCCAAAGTTCCCGAAGTCTCAGATCTGCTCTTGAAGCTGAGGTTTGACGGCTTGACTCTCTCTCAATTTGTGCCTTGCGGAAGTCTCTGTTCAGGACGCCCCTTAGCAATGAGAGAGGAGCTCTTGTATATTTCTGCACACAAGGACCATGTGCATCGAACACAAGAAAGAACCGGATATGTAATATTTTACTTCCACGACGAAGAAGCATTTCTTGCTTCAATTTTTTTTTCAGATTATTTCATTGCCTTATGTAGTAGCGTACGATCGCTGTCGTTTGAAAAAAATTGTGATGTGGAAGCTGATGTATCGCAAAAACTAACAGTACGAGTATTTTTTATTTCATTGCAAAATAGACTGTTATAAAACGACAACGGCATCAACAATGACGGGATAAACCAAACCGTTATGAGTCTTGAGTGCCTCTTACTTTTAATGAGACTACGTGATAACTGGGGAGGCTACTGAAAACTTCGGCCAAAAGCCAGCTAATTATTTGCCTCATACAAGGCATCACCCGCCTTCGGGCCAGCTTAGCGGATGAAAATTCAGGGGGCTTCACGTCAAGGCTAGTGCCCCGCATGCAGCCTTGAGATACATCCACTTTTCCGACACCAAAGAAAATTCAACAAGAAATGGCTTGAGGAAATTCTGGTAGCTCAGAGAGTGGCAGAGACTTAATGCATAAACGAATTGAAGCGTTTAATCGCCTCTTTCTAAACTTCATTTCGAGACTTTCTCAACGATATTCGCTTGCTCCCAGTAAGCAGAATAGCATTTTAAAAAATCACTGCGAATTTCCCGAAGTAAGAGAAGAGACAAGGTGATCACAAGTAAAGTTTAGGGAGACCTCTGGATTAACAATACGGCTCGCCCTCTGGGTTTTTTCTAAATTTCGCCGCAGGACATTGTTATAATAAGATGCGGAGCACGTGCGTCCTCCAGGGACCCGCTCCAGCAAGTTCAACTACTTAAACATTCGTTGTCAGTCACCATGTAGATTTGACTGAGTAAAAGTCTCAGTTTCTTATCATGGTTGTCCCTCCTGTTATTACAGACATTATAATACTTATCGTCTTCTCATTTTTTCCCTTTTATCACAAAAAAAAGCACTTATCATATATTGGTCTCGATAGCTCGTGCAACCGTCTCAGTCAATCAGATGAATAGCCACAACCAATGGCGAATTGGTCACCCGCGTTTTCCCGCGCTTCAGCAGTTTGTTTGTTTTTGCTTTGAGCTCTCATTGGCTCCTTGAGATATTTGTCCTCTTGTTGGCCACTTTGATTTCTTTGGTTTTTGGTTTGCATAGGCATAATCATAATCAAGAATATGTTCAGCTTTTTTTGTTGTATATTTGGCAATCCCATCATGTTAAAAGACCTTAAATAATAGATAATTTGCATTTTTATCAACTGAGTTGATAACGCTTCTTCCAAGGACGGGTCATTTTTTATCACCGGGGAGGGGAGGGAGGGGTGGTCGGAGTATCTTGGTTGTGTCAATGAAATTAAACTTGAAATTAAACTGATCTCCCTTACGGCTCTGTAGTATTATGATCCCCAACGCACCCACCATCCCCCCTTACAACATTAAATTTCCCATAATTCCCCTCTGTGTAGGAATCGTTGAACTTTACTTCATTTACAACTTCATCGGTGCAATAGGACACTGCGTTTTGTTTATATCAGATTATTGTCTGAACCGGTTTGATCACGTGAATTTTGTTGAAGGATAAGTTTTTTTTTCTTCGATTAGAGAAGGAGTCTTTTTTCTAGTGATGTTCAGAGCACGAAGTGATTTATACGATGAAGGAGTAATTTATGCGAGTTGTCTGAACCACGATTATTACACCCTGTTCGCGACGGGTGATACCCCCCCTCCATTCCACTTGAAAATCCAGTGATCCCCAAAAATCCTCCAAACCCTGCTAAGAGTAAAGGGCTAACGCTCGAAACGTCAGCTTTGTAATTTTTATACAGAGGCCAATTTTGCGTCCTCAGCTTAGTTGATAATATTAGATTACCCTGTTATACTCTCCCACCGACGCAGCATCACAGTTTCTTTAAAAAACTCACCCCTCTATCCAGATCCTTATGTTTTGTTTAATGTTCCTTGAAATTCTCTTTTATAGCCACACCTTCCTTCTCATGACCCCATGAAAGCTGGGGGGTGTTATATAATCATCGAGGGGGCACTTATTCATTAGCAGCTTCACTGTAATTTTGGCATTGGTTATCTCTTTCATGTGGCAAATTTTGTTCAAAATTGGAGCTGTGAAAACCAAAATGTTGTTTGACCTAATGTTTTCTAAAATATTGCCTCTGTTTCAAACTTACAATGATGTAGAAACTCTAAAAAGTTACTACATTGCTCATATGTAGGATTTGGCAAAGTTGTAAAATTATTTTGAGCAATAATTATTTCAGCTAATTCTTTAACGGAAGAGACTTTTGCATATTCTACAATTTCCTCATGATCGATGTTAGCAGGTGTGATCTGGTCCAAGTGTTCTTCCTCATTCACAGCTTGTACTGGGGGTATCGTCATAAAGTACAAAGTTACACATGAAGGGGCAGCTTCCAACAAAGTATTACAAAGCTTCTCTTGAAATGATTGGGTGAGAGAGCACGGAGGTTTCGAGTCATGAGGCTCATGACAATCCTTAGTTTTTTTTCCATACTCTGATTTTTGCAGTTTAACATCTTCCATTGGTACAGCATTTTCTGTAATTATTTTCAGTTTCACCCAAAGGTAAGATACTACGGTGGAAGTCTCCAGCTCATTTCTTCTAATAGTTGCTTCCAAATCGCACAGAGCGATAGCTGTATGGCTACATGCACCATCAGCACTATTAACCCTTACAACCCTTGGAGTGACTAGCATCTAATTTCTCCTTACAATAACTCCCCTGAATCACATATGAAGGTCACAAGAATAAAGGAAATGATCACCTACAAAAGAAGCTCTTGATCGTGAAACAAATTCTCCTTGTCAGCACCTTAGGAATTGTAAGATTAGTAGTATGGAGAATGTGCATACTTATGTTAGGTGTATAGCGGGTTGAAAGAAACGAAATGACAGGACAATAGTCTCTTATACCTTAGAAAGTCAGCTCATTCGCACAGAAACGCAACAAACATGGCAATAAATTGGAAACCATAAGTTTCATTCACTCGTAGAGAAAAGGAAAAAAACAGCGCACACATCTGACTTACCCGCCCGGCATTGAAAGCATAGTATGCAGAAGAAATGCTTTTAAATTAATTTTAAGCACATTAAAACCCCAGTAGAAGTCTTTTCTATCTTCAGTCTCAGACCTGTCAGTTGGTTTTATTTTGATCTAAGAAAATTGCAGTATCCGGTCTGTTCTTCACATCCTCCACATGCCCGCCCACAAATAAGAAAGGTCGTATAAAAATACGACCGTAACCAATCTTTATCTCAACCATCTTTTCCAGTCAGATAATGGTAACTATCAGGAAACCTATAGTAGAAAACCTGTAGTCTGTAGTCTTAAGCGAAAGTGGATGGGGAAGTTCATCCGGACAATGTTATCTTGGAATTAATCAAAAATAGATCAAAATTCTCGAACGCGATTGGTTATTACCAGCCCGATTTAAGCACTAACAGGACAGTGTAAGCGTCTTGCTTGTAACTGGAAAGTGTTATAGGACGATGAACACGTCATGCCTGTGTAAGTGGAAAGAACGCGTCATGTGCGTCAACTGTTCGGTAAACAAACCGAATAAGTTACAAATTTCTTGCATTTACGAGACCCGTGTGGTAGATTTACCTTGCTTGAATTGTTGTCTACTAGAATTTACCACCAGAAAATTGCGTAGTTTTGTGTTGAAAAATCTCAAAATTGTACGATTTTTAGGACATGTTAACACTTCGAAATCATATTTACCGTTTAACATCAGTATGCATATTCTCCATACTGTTCTCTATACATTTCCAAAGAGGCTGACAAGGAGAATTTGTTTAATAATCAAGAGCTACTTCAGTTGGTGATCTTCACCTCTATTCTCATGACTCTCACGTTTGATTCAGGGAGGACAGAGTAAGGAGAATTTAGATGGTAGTCACTCTTAGGGGTTAATGGATTAATGAGGATTACCCAACGTAGCGAAATCGCAGTTGAAGTCAGAAAGCTTGGTTTTGTTTTCAGCCATAATTCGCATCGCGTTTGAGAGTGAATTGTCATCAACTCTAAAACTAATTTCGTCGCTTGAAAGAATTACAAGCCCATTTTTTTAAAAAGAGTATTATTTGGCATGTTTTATTTTCATTTTGAGCTCCAAAAGGTCGATCTCAGTCGGGATAGAGCGAGGAAAAAATCTTGCACATTTTTAAAACTCACGGCTAAACTCAACGGGGACTTTCAGCCAAAGTGAAATTGCACACGTCATGTGATAGACGCACGGCCGTGCAGTACATAAGGATTTTTATCATGGTAGCTCCCCAGGAAATAGGTAGGCCTTGCGCCCGCGCTATATAGTGATAATTTATGCTAATAACGATTATCAAAAATTGCGTTTCTAGCCAAACAGCGTGTTGATAAAATAAGGAGAAGTAAATTTTTGGCCGATTCTGGGAGTGAAAGTGATAAAATTTCAGAGAAATGCATCTAAAGAGACGTGATTTAGATTCATTGACCCACTTTTATTGTTCTTTCGCGTAAGTGCAAAAGCAAAAACCTACATTTAAAATCCCCATTACTGAAATTAGAGCATGATCATCGCTTTACGTCACATGCAACTTTTTCCTTAAGCAGAGCAGTTTAGCTTCTTTACTGAACGAAGATGTAGCCGAAAGCCTTGATATTTTTGTCTCCGTTGTCCGCACCCCACGAGGCTCCGTTTCCACAGGCGTTTTCGAATCCTGACCCTCCTCCACCAAATCCGATTCTGGAATCAGGGAAGTTGCAATCGTTTTCTTGATTAGCGATGATTCCAATTCGAACTCTCGAGGTACGGTGCATAGTTCCTTGCGAGTTGAACCCTTCTTTGTTACATTTAAGCTGCAGAGAGGCATCGGAACCAATCAGCGTCTTCCATTCATCCCGACCCAGCGAAGTAGGACGGTATTCACCATCAGCAATGAGGTCATACAGTGAGGCTGCTGCCTTATCCACTTGCAAGAACCTGGTTACTCCATTGACCTTCATACCGAGACAGATCTTGGTGAAGGACGTGCTCCAGTAGGTTGGTAACAGGGTCTCCAAGTGATCCAACCCAGTGTCTCCATTTTGGGGAGAGAATGAAGACCTGTCATACCACCTGTTTGAACCATACCAGAACGTGTTCTGCAAGATGAAGCAATTTCCAAGTTAGAAACGAAAATAATTCGGAATTGAATTGTTACTGCTTCCCTTTGCTTTATGAGTGCTCCATCAAACGTACGCCAGTCCCTCAACTGGTAGGATGTTATAAAAAAGCAATTTTCAATTGAAAGTAAGGCGGGATTGCATTGCATTGTACTCTCTCAACCAATCAGCCCGCGCTTTGGATGGTTTGCTTGTTTTCAATTTGAGTTCTCATTAATTGGCTCTCTAAGGTATTTTCCTTTCCTCTGATTGGCGTTTGTAAATACTTTGGTTTGGTCGTCAATCTTAAAGCGCTCTAGAGTTAGTCTTGACTTAATCACTCGAGCCTTCCTGCTCTTTGAACAGTTTCCTTTTTTTTGCTTTTGTTTTTTGTTTTTTTTTTGTTTTAATTTGTTTACTTTAACTTGTCATTTGCCTATCGTGATAGTTTCATCTCCTCTGATTGTCTTAAAATTGTGATTACTTTGCATAATCAATGAAAAAGGGTGCTAGAGATACATGTCACTCTCGTCTCAAAGTTCAAAAAAGGCTGAGTCATGAAGTGAAGAAAATTTCGAAGGACATTCCTCTTGAAGGATGACCATATTCCAATATCTTTTATGTTTTGAGAGTAGGAAAACATTTTGAGTAACTAAAATATATCTAGGATCGCTCAATGTAATCTCATGATTACTTTACAACAAACAGGAGTGGGCGAAATAAGAAACGAGTTAGTTTTCATTCAGAAAACTCGAAGAACAGAAGTCCATTGAATTGGTAGAGCTACGGAATCTCAAACATGCCTTTTCACCATCAATCTTCATGACCAGCGTCCATCCGCCATCTCCGCATTCTCCGAGCTCCCCACTCATGGAACAGTACACAGGCAGATCTCCATTGTCTAACCTGAGGGTATATGCCCTGTTGGAGCTGGCGCTGGGAAAAGAGTTGACTCTTACATTAATTTCTTGGACGGTCACGCAACGCAAAAATGAAGTAGAACTACGTGAAATGGCATTGAAAAACACACGCACACATTTTTATTTTTATTTTCATACATATTTACAAGATATTCCTTTGACTCGCAGATAGCAAATGCTAATCGAGACGGGTCAATTTATTTTTCTTTCTTAACTAACTTAATTTGATTACACTGGAAATAAAACGGAAATGAAGAAATACAACATAAAAAGCCAAATGATACACAAGAAAAGAAAAAAAGGAAAATGACAGATGTTCATTATAGAGGAGAATAAGTCCTAGAGTTTTTAAGTTTTTTTGCACGAAAAATATTGTAGAACTGGTTCAATTTGGTTCAATTTTGCTGTGTTTGAATTTTAGCACTATCTCATCAGGCCTCATATAAGAATCTTCATTATCTAGAATATTGAGAAGAGCTCTTTTTGTTTCTTTTTTTGAAAGATTTTCTTTAAGAAGTTTTTATATTCACTAGGTATCTCATTCCAGACTTTGACACCAACACACGAAAAGGCCTTTCTTTGCATTTTAAGCCTGGACTACCCAACGTTTAAGAGTTGTGACGTTGATGAGCGAGTAGTATATGTATAGATGTTTGAAGTTCTCGTGAAAAGTTTTATGATGTTAGGAGGTGCACCGTCGTTATGAACATCGAGCATTAATTCACAAACTGCTTCATAATATAAGAAGGTAATAGGCAGAATTTTTGCATTTACATATAAGAAAGGCTGCTGAGAAGTCATGGTTTAGTACTATCACTGTCAATGAAAATACTAAAGACGTCTTAATTTTTTCAACAAGTAGAGGCTTGTTACATGGCTATGTAGGTATTCGAAATGGGTACTTAATGTGTATCTTAACGGGATATCAGATCCGCTCCGTTAATATAAGGAACCAACGCAGTTCATTTTCTCTTGAATCCCTCCCTAAAATTCCTATAGTATCGGTCAGCAATGGAGGCCACACCTTCCACCTCTAGATAAAAACTGACTCCTTGGGATTTCAATTTTATAAGTTTTTTTCCCACTCTTTCTTAGAGGAAAAACTATTGAATATCTTATACCGATGTGTTTTTTTTTTTCTTTCCTTAGGCACAATCCTGTAGCAATGTCGAGGAAGTTAATACATGATTTCTTTTCCCTTTTCTCTGCGCTTCTTGCTTTGACTAGTTTTCTTGCAAAAAATTTTCTGTGTATTTGATACCCTACCTCGTCCCACAAATTTAGTGATTGTTCGTTCCTTACCTGTTCTGGTCGTATATTTCTTTACAGGAACGTGGCTGGTGCCCTGAAGAGATCATGAGAACAAGTTGTGATGCTAATCGTCAGAAGTAAATCCAGGCTTCACATTACGTTTCCTGATTATTGTTTACATGTGGTTTTCCTATCGCTCTGATGAAGGGCTAACGCTCGAAACGTCAGCTTTTAAACTCTAAGGGACCTTAAGCAAACCACGACGATGACGGCAACGAGGACGTGGAAACACAAAAGATCTAATCGGCAGAACAATAGCTCAGCACGTGCGTTTTAGTACTTTGTACATTTCTTGGCCGTCCTATGTAACAACGTGAAATCACCACAATTCGCGTCGTCTGCGAACCGAAACCGCGACTGCAAATTGTTTTAATTTCCACTTGGAACTCAACGCTTCTTTTTCCTCTACGTTATGCTGAAGTTGAGGTGTGGCACCGTATGAGACGGTAAACAAATGCAGCCATTTTTTTAATTCTAATTTAAGGCAGAAATTTATTTTTTTAATCGAAGTCTTCCTTGACGTTGCCGTCCTGACTGCTTAAGGTCCCTAATACTAAATTATCCTGTTATACTCTCCCACCGACGCAGCACCACAGTTTCACCATCGTTTTGTCCTGAAAAAAGTTTCATGACCCTAGAGTTCGGTTTGAGCCAACGAACGAACGAAGTTCCTTTTAGTGCTTTTATTTTTGAATGATTGGCTTACAATAACGGAGGCTCTGGAAAAAGCAATTTAGAGTAAAAATCAGTGAAAATAATTTCGAATGACGTTTCGATAACTCGTTCATCATTTTCAAATTCTAGAATTCAGACTACTGTGAACTGTGAGATACTAAGAATGCGTGTGAAATTTGAATCCGTTCTGAATTTACGAAATGGCCCAACGATAAATTTTCATGTGATTGAAATTGAAAACCGTGAGACAAATTTAAGGCACCTAGGGAAATGCAGAAACAGATGAAGCGATTTTTTCAGTGAACCTTACTCGGTGCTCAGCAGGATCAAGTCCTCAATATCTGACTACTTGTCCGTTTTTTTGTTTGAAAATTTCTTTCTCTGGCTTACCTGCAGCGGCGCCAATGGCGAGATAAACCACAAAGATGAGTGCACAAAAATTCATAGCTGTCTTTTCACTGTCTTAAGTACCTCTTGACTTCAGTGAGACCCGATGATATCTGAGGAAGGTATAGCAAACCCCATTTTGTCAGTTATGACTTTCGCAACAACTTCTCCTTACTTGAGCGCATACTTTAGCCGTATTCTTTGCTGAAAGAATTTCTATCTTCGTCATACCTATCTTAAAAGGATGTTTGTAGCACTTTTCTGCAACCATCTGACCAAGAAAAAATTCTGCTTAATATTGGCATTCGTGCTTCAGACGTATTATAAATTGTCCTTCTCACAGTTTAATTACCTCCTTGTTCCCGTTTTGGGTCAATACCCTCACAACCACTCTTAGGAGAGACTCTCTATTTAACAGCAGCATAAAGTTTCAAAGAGCAACAACATGTACAGTTTGCCGTGTTACAAGAGATTATTCTAACAGCAACTTTTTAAAACTGTACAGCACTTTTTCTGCAAAACCCCGTGAAGGTTTCCATAACTCGGGCAACCAACTTTCAACTTGCACGTAATCTTTTCTCGCGCCATCAACATCTCATATTTCTACCTGCTTAGTAACTTCTGTCTCAGTCGTTTTTCAAAATAAAGCATAGAGCTAAGCTATACTCTCCAAACGCTAACTCTAAGAAGTGGAAATCTAGCATCCTACTTTGACATACTAAAAGTAACACTACGACCTTCGCACTTTTATATTGCAACATGTAACGTTATTAAAAAAAAAAAAACTAAACAAACAAAGACATCCCTTACCTAGTGAAGTTATCTTGTTCAGTTTGAGAAGTGGTCTGCCTCAAAATGCGAAAGTCCCAATACTTGATGCATCTTATATACACTTTAGATCAATCAAAAAATGTTTTGCGCAAACTCGCCAAATACTCTACGTGATCAGGGTGATAGTATGTTATTCATTAAAGCATAAGCTTCTTCTATCTTTTGTCAATCAGCTGCATGCCTCCTTAGTAATTAGTCGGCAATCCTTTTCTCAACAAAGTAGACAGAATTTTTTTAAATTCATCTCCAAAAGTTACATCAAAGTCCTCTTCCCCCAAACAATATTGCAATACATTTTTGACCATTAGGCTAACCCCAGGAGTGTTGCAACTCATTGTACTCTACCAGATCAGAGTCACAATGATACATTATTGAACCGAGCATAAGTTAAAGCATGACTGATTTGACTTGAACAATGGAAAAAAGTTGTAATGAAGCCTAATTAAGAACTTCAAATAAACCGAAATTATTCCTCCTATTAGAGTCATCACTTTGTTTTTGACAATCGATTATACAAATAATACTAACAAGCTAAACGTAATTATTCTTATTTCTCTTGTCTTACGGTTGACAAGCCTCTCCTTAGTAAATGGTCGACAAACCTCTACTCAACTAAATAGACAGGAATCTCCAAATTTAACTCTGATAAGAGGGTTCCATACACTTTTTACGTGAAGCGTGATTGGGCGTTTTTTTTCTGTCGTGAATTGTGATTTGATTATTTTTTTAATCGTGAATCATGCCTAAAGATAATAAGATCTTTTCCTTTCTACGTGAACGAGTGACCCCTGAACTTAGAACTGAATTACAAGTGATTCGTGAACCATTTCGTTTTGCGTGATGAATTCCTGGCTATTTTTAAATTGTTTTGAAAATGTATGTATTGTTTTTCGAACAGCTGTGGTTGGGTTTTGACCAGGGTTTTGACAGGACTTCAGATGAAGGACTTCAAATGGTCGATAAAACAATTGAACAAATGAGATAAGACATCATGTCATTTTTTGTCACACGCGACCGGTCAAGACTTAAATAAGTCAATTATTTCTTCAAATTGACTGCCTTGAATTTCGCGTGAACGTGAAAGGGTTTTAGATATTATTTGCGATACGTGAAAAGGCCAAATATTTTTACGCGACTGAGTTTTACAAAGGAGCATAGAGGACCTTCTTGTAAGTTACATGAAAAGTCCCCCTCTCCTTCTCCCTTCCCCCGCCAAACAATGTTGCAATACATTTTTGTCCAGTTTGCCAACCCCAGGAATTGCGTCATTCATTGCAACCTACGTGATCAGAGTGACACCAATTAATATATCTTTCATAACTGATTTTTACCTGTGTAATTAAAAAAAAATTACCATAATGGCCAATTTGACTTTAAAACAAACAGTAATAATTCCTTCTATCACAACAAGCACAAGTTTCCTTTTTCTAATTTCCGTTTTCTTATTATCTTGAAATTCAATGAAAAATTCATAAACTCATTTCAGAGGGGACATATAAAACGACTCATGCATTTACTGTGAATTTTGAACTTTGTTTTGCGACAATTCCTATCACCGTGAGAGGGTGCGTACAAGTTGCCACTTTGTCTCGCAATTCCGTTTTTTTTTTCACCATGAGTTGGAAATACGGGAGCACTGGTATTACCCCTAAAATTGCTTATGAATTGTTGTATCCGGACTCGCACTGCAGGCTCCTAAATATTTGAAATATACACAGTGATACTCCGCACCAAAACTTTTCTTAAGACATACATCTTGTAAAATTGCATTAGGGTTGTTTTTCTGCGTAATTTTTATGTGGGAATTATTTCATTAGTATTTAACCTGCTGGTTTGATCAAAGCAGTGCTTGGCCACATACGAATGGATGGAAAAATTAATACTGATTCCCGTTTAGAACGCGACAGCAAACTTTGCCTTTTGCCGCGCTTTGAATCTTTGTAAGAAATATGTTTTATCACTCCATTTTCGAATTTAATCACCACAAGAAGTCATATATGAAAGCATTGAGTATTTAAAACGTGATAATGTTTATGATAGAACTTGAACTTTAACGTGAGCTAGATGTCGATTTGTCAATAAGTTTACAGTTACTTGTTATTTATTTCTAATTATAAATATTCTTGAAAGTACTATTACGTGTATTCGATGTTCTGTCACGTGCGACAATTTTTGCATTCGATTGAAACAGAGTTCACGTTACTTTGGTTGTTATTTGATAGAAATAAAAATGTTCATCATTTCCTTTCACAAAGTTGCGTGTTCGATGGATATCCCGTTCAATTAATCTTTTTCATCAACATACCAAAATACTCCTTCTAAACAAACGATGTCAAAAGCGATAGTCAGGCGCGTACGCGAAACTCAAGGGGTGTGCCGTTGAAAATGGCTGATCTTAATACAAGCATTCTTGGACAAAAATTGTTGGACTCTTTTGTCCCCTTTTTTCCAACGCTCACGTTGCGTGTATTCGGTGTTCCGACAAGTGCGTCGATTTTTTCCGCTCTTAATCCTGCATTCAATTGATACAGAGTATACTGGCATTACTTTTGGAAATTGTTTATAAATGCCGCCAAAGAAGGTAGAAATAAATTAATATATTCCTCCGCGGCCCTCCAGCCCAAAGGGCTTCAAAAACACCATTCCTAGTTTAAATGTTTTGGTCCATTTCTCACAGTGCTTTTTGCTAAAGCGAGAAATGCAGTCGTTATCTGTGCACTTCGCGCGGTGCTTTAAGAACGAAGAATACTTTTGTTGTTTGCGCACTTCGAGCGGTGCTTTTATAACGAGGAATACTTTTGCTGTTCGTACACTTCGAGCGGTGCTTTTAGAACGAGGAATTCTTTTGTCGTTTGTGTGCTTCGAGCGGTGCTTTTAGGAGGAATACAGTTTTGCTGTTTGTGCACTTTGCAAATTGTGTTTTTTTAGTCAAACGAGAAATACTCTTGTTAATTATGCACTTCGCGCGGTGCTTTTAGAATAATGAATTCAATTTCTGTTTGCGCACCTCGCACAGTGCGTTTAAGTAGAGCGAGGAATACATATTTTGTTTGTGTACTATGAGCGTGATCCACTCGGATCGTGGGAGTCGGCACACGAAGTCATAAAAGACTCCAAGTCAGATTCACGTATAGTCTGGAAAACTTTACAACTTGTGAATTCAATTGAACGCTCGTGTGGGTCGTGCGGATCGTTACACCGTCATGACCAAAGATTTAAGATTTAGAAGCACGGTTTGAATAAATTATTTTTGCACTTGATGCGCGCGGTTTGCTTACGCTTAATTATGATAAACCGTCTCGTATTTTTCCATGTGTGTTATTGAGACTTAATCGCATGATTTTTCTCGTACAATTTGGAATAAGTAAGCACTTGTTAATTTTTTAAAAGACCACAATTTTGTTTAATGTACTCGTGCTTATTTATTCCAAATTGCACTCGAAATCATGTGATTACCTATACCAATAAGATACATGAAAAAGTTACTCAGTTCTGATTGGTTAAGATAAATGCAGTTTTCAGGTAGTTCAATGCAGAAGAGGGTTAATTCAGGGCAAAGAAGTAACAAACCAGACAGAACAATTCTTGAACTGTTAAGCCGGACTTTGAACCTTTTTGCGCCTTAAGGATGTTAAAATATCATTGTACATTATCAAAGGCGGTTGTTTTGACCGATCAGACAATGTCACCTGCAGGGTTTGAATAAATTATTTTTTCATTTGATGCGTGCGCTTTGCTTCTGCATAATTATGATAAGCTATCTCGTGTTTTTTCATGTCTATCATTAATACGTTATCACATTATTTTTCTCATTTTGTTAGTCCTTGAAAAAATTTACTCATGCTTACTTATTCCAAATTGCAATCGAAATCATGTGATTACCTATACTAGTAGGACAGTGTACGCGTCATGCTTGTAATTGGACAGTGTGATAGGACAGTTAAAAGGGACAGTTAACACGCCATTCCTGTGTAAGCGGACAGAATGCGTCATGTGCGCGCGCTGTGGTTCTCGTATTTGGCCGAGCTAATCCGTTGTTTTTTTTTTACGAAAACGTATAACCGATATCTAGTTTCTTATCAAATTTTGTCATAGTTTTCATTAATTGGTAACAGGACTTAATGTCGTCCAATTCTGTCTGTAATCGCACTCGTGATTAATAATAACTGGTATGATTACAGACCGAATTGGACTCCGCTAGGTCCTATTACTATTATAAATCGGGCTAGTGATAACCAATCAAGTTCTAGTTTTAATCAATTCCCTAATGATATTTTCAGGGTCAAATACACCCGAAAGTTCCTTGAAAGAAATATGCGATAAGGGCAGGCAAGAAACGAGTGCGGGGCCTGTGCGGGGTGGCAAATACACACAGAAATTATGTTACAAGAAAATTGTGTAAAAGAAATGATTTTTGCAAGGCAGGAAGCGCAGAAAGAAACAAATCAGGTACTAACTGTTTTGTAGCTTGTTCACTGATTGCGCCCGTAAAAAGGAAATGGGACAGCAGAACGATCACGGAAGTCCGTGGAGCTAAGCCCCTATTCGATGAGATACTGGATGAATCAAAGATATGGTAAGTACAATCATTATTTTTGTATTTTTCGGTCTGGAGATTCCTCCCTCCTTCCCTTCCCCCCCTCCCCTCCCTTGGGTGATAAATGACGACAGGTCTCTCATTTTCTGCCATTTATTTTGTGGAATTTTAGTTTTTTAGAATTTGGCCCTTACTAAACGAGTTCTGTTGTCAAGAGAGGAAAAGCACTCATAAAGACAGTATGTTGATATGGTTTGAGGAAAAGATAGATTCTCCTTCGAGTAACTACAAGAAAAAAAATTAAGAGACAATATTTTGGTTCATTAACCCACTTTTATTGTTACTTTATTTAACAGCAAAAGTGAAACCCGACGTCTTAAATCCCCATTACTGAAATAAAAGCATGATCATTGCTCCATGTCGCATGCAACTTTTTCCTTGAGCAGAGCAGTTCAGCGTCTTTACTGAACGAAAATGTATCCGAATGCCTTGGTATTTTTGTCTCCGTTGTCCGGTGAATACGCAGCTCTGTTTCCACACACGTTTTTGAACGACAGTTCTGCCCCACCAAATCCGATGAAGGAATCGGGGGTTCTACAATCTCCTTCTTGATTACTGACAATTCCAATTCGAGTCTTAATACTACCACTCCCCCGCGAATTAAACCCTTCTCGATTACAGTTGCGCTGGAGGGAGGCATTGGGACCAATCAGCTTCTTCCATGCATTACGACCTAGCGAGGTACGTCGGTATTGACCGTCAGCAATAAGGAAATGCAATGAGGCTGCTTCCCGATGTAATCGCAAGAACCTGGTTACTCCACCGACCTTCATGCCCAGACAGATCTTGGAAAAGGACGTGCTCCAGTAGGTTGGTAACAGGGTCTCCATGTGATCCAATCCGGTGTCTCCATTTTCGGGAGAGACTGGAGACATGGAAGACCACGCTTTTGAATCATAACTGAAGGTGTCCTGCGAGAAAAAGGACATTTTTAACTTAGAATCCAGAGCATTGGAGATAGGGCAAGTTTCAAGTTAGTGTCTATAGTAATCCGGGTTTGCACCAGTATCGCTTCTCTTTGCTCTATGAGAGCTCCATTAAACTCGCGCTAAGCTCTTAACCGGTTAGGTGCTTTATCAGAGAAATTTTCAATTGAGTGTCGAACGTAATCCGAGATTTCGTTGGTTTTGCTTTAATTCGCAATGCGATTGGTTCAGAAAACTCGCGCCACTTTAGACCAATCAGATGTAAAACTAACACCAATCGCGACTTGGTCGCCTGCGTTTCCGCACGCTTTAAGCAGTTTGATTGTTTTTACTATGAGTTTTCATTGGCTCTCCGGGATATTTTTCTTTTTTTTGATTGGCCGTAGTGATTACTTTGGTTTCGGTTTTACGACACTGAAAGACTAAACTAAATCGCTTAAATTGGACGACGTTTTCTATCTGCGGAACAGAATCAAAGACAATGTGGAAGAATTTGTAAGACGGCCAAACAGCTACGTTGAGCCACGATCAAGACAATACATATTCTCTTGCCGCGATACAATCACTATTCACGGCTGAAATATCAGACTCAGAAGTTATATACTTGACAAAAGTGTACAAAAGCAAGAGATTTGACAGGGACTCGATCCTAGACGTCGAAACGTATTGCAAAGAGACGGAGACCTTCGAATTCTTAAATATATTTATTCGTGTCGGTGAAACGCTGGTGTCATTCACAAGGCGCAAAGAAAGGATTCGTAAAAGAAGTGTTTCGCCTCCTGCGAATAAATTCGTCACGCTCTACTTTTAATAAAAACATTCAGTGTTTCAAAATACGCTTAAATAATAAAGAATAATGAGAGGAAATTTTGGAGAAATGCATCTCTGAATTTGATCTAACCGAGAGAGAAAGGTTACTCAAAAACTTCCATGGAATTAGACTTGCGATCGATCACAAATGTTTCCCCGTCTGACGGTCTTTCAAGTGCTGAGAGGAGCCTTCTGTTTGATTTTCCTGCGAAATGCTGTGTAGCAGGGTCTCAAAGGACTCGCTGTTTGTTTTCTGGTCTTATCCCAAGGCTTTTAGAATTGATCTAACAAACCATTTAATATGGTGGCTTTAAATTGTGCAGGACGGCCTCTTTTCGATGGCTTCATTTTCGCAAACGCGGAATCAAACGACAAAAATATGCAGAAAATAGGCGATAGACACTTGACGAAACTAGACGAGGGTATTTAAAGCCGGTTCTCGATCATGGTTGCATAGTGTTAGTTGAATAATATCACACACACGGTAGACTTTCCTTTTCTGTAAGTACAGATGATAAAATGATTTGGAGTGCAATTTGTTATTGATAGTACTTATCACGACAAATAGCAAGAGAAATCATGTTACTGCTTTTAATAATGTACATGAAAAAAACATCACAGAAGTCAAGACAGACGAACTTTCAAAGCGTGCACGCGCTATTTGTAATTTGCACTCCTGTTACAACTTTGCACTCGTGTTACATAAGAATGCATTTGTTTTCAGCCAATTAGAAGCGCAAGTAGATTATTATACAGAAAATACTGAGAATGTTCACTACGCCCGCATTGCATCCTGGTTGAGCACAGACCTTTAATGTGTTCCATAAAACATTCACTGATTTGAGAGAGAAAATGGGAAACAAACAGGAGTGAGAGAAACGAATCAAAGGGTTCATTCGTTACATTCGAAAAACAATGAATTGGTAGGGTTTTGAAACCTTGAACATGTTTGAAATACCTTTGCACCGTCAGTCTTCATGACCAGCGTCCATCCCCCACCACCGCAGTCTCCAAGCTCCCCACTCATGGAACAGTACACAGACACATCTTTATCGCCTAGCTTGAGGTCATACGCTTTGTTTGGGCTGTCACTAATAAGAGAGTATCAGTGTGTTATTTTCTTTGAATCCTACGTGGTAGTTCTTTGGAATGTCACGCAACGCAAAAAAGAAGCAGCGCTGCGTGACATCGCAAAGAATACGTGCGGAGAAGTTTTTTCTTGGCTTGGCGCTATTGCGGTCAAAGGGAATACTACTGAGACGAACAAAATCAGGGTTAATAGGGCGGAGACGTCTTGAAATTTCCAACGGGTGAGGGCTTGTTACATGTGCAGCCAAACAGGAGCTCATAGCCGCGCTATTACGATATCAGAGAACAAAACCAACAAATCTAGTCGACTTTATATTCTCTTGAATCACTCACACAATTCCTGGTATCGATTAGGAAAAATATAAATCCCTAGATAGAAACCGGAACTCTCTGAGACATAATGGTAAAATAATTCATTTATCTTTCTTTCCTGAGAACAGTCAATGGTCAGCGCCAGGTTGGAAGGGGGAAAGAAAAGGGTAACGGGGGGGATGTCGGAGAGTTAAGGCGGAACACAAGGTTTTTAAAGGGCAACCGAGGGAGGGGGGTGGTCAGTCTACGCTATCAGAGTATAAAAGGGGAATTGTAGAAATTCGGCTGCCAATGAGGGAGGGTCATCAGATAACCACAGAGCCTGAGGGGGCTACAACTTGCATAAATTATTTTGCGTTCAAATTTTGCATGCATGTTTTTTTTTTCTTTCTTTCTTTCTTTTCTCTTTTTTTGCTTTGTTTTGTCTTGTTTTGTTTTTTTTTCTTGCTTTTTGTAACTTTTTTTCTTTTGCGCATTTTTCTTGGAGAAGGATTTTCACGATATATTTGTTTGCCACCCACCCTCGCTCAGGCACAAATTTAACGATCGTTCGTTCCTTACCGGTCTTTGTCGTATATTTCTTTGCAGGAACTTGGGGGCGCGACGGGCTCTGCGGGTATGAGATGAGAAAACGATTAGGCAACAAATCATAACTGGATAAATGTGAATATTCCAAACTATGTTAACAAAAACTTTTAATCCCACCAAAATTCAGAATCGACGGACCAACAAAGCGGTGACGTTAAAAACAGCAGAAAAGATCTTCTACATCTTACCTGGTACACAGCAGTCCTGTTTCTTGTTAATCAGGTCCTCAAGATCTGATAACTTGCCCAACATTTGGCTGCAAAGTTTGTTTTTCTTGCCAGCAACAGCACCAATTGCGAGATAAACCAGAAAGATGAGCGCACAAAACTTCATCGCTTTCGTCTTCTCACACTGTCTTGAATACCACTTGATTTCAGCCAGACTCGACGATAAGTGAGGAAGTTATAACAAACGCCAAATTATAAACACATGAATCGCCGCTGACATTTATTACAATTTCTCTGTAGTCGAGTTTATACTAAAGCCTTATGCTTTGTTGCGAGAATTTCTACCTTCATCAGACCTTAACTTTAACCAACTGACCAATAGCAATTCTGATTCATAGTGGTATTCATGCTTTAGACGAAATTCGAAATTCGAATAACCATGGATACTAATTTATCAAATCTTTCAAGCCAAATGATGATGGCAAACGTGGTGCGTGTAGGCCAAAATTAATGCGACACGTGAAATTTTCTGTAAGGCGAGCGTTATTCGAACGTAAAGTTATGTCAGTAATTTATTAAATCTTTCAAGCCAAATGATAATGGCGAACGTGATGCGTGTTTGAGGCCAAAACTAATGTGACACGTGAAATTTCCTTTAAGGCGAGCGTTATTCGTACGTAAAGTTATGTAAGTAATTCATTAAATCTTTCAAGCCAAATAATAATGGCAAACGTGATGCGTGTTTAGGCCAAAATTAATGTGACACGTCAAATTTCCTTTAAGGCGAGCGTTATCCGTAGGTAAATTTATGTAAGTAATCCATCAAATCTTTCAAGCCAAATGATGATGGCAAACGTGATGCGCGTTTAGGCCAAAATTAATGTGAAACGTGAAATTTCCTTTAAGGCGAGCGTTATTCGTTCGTGAAGTTATGAATCAGCTTAGGCGTGATTTGCTGCATGAAATACAAGTGGCCCGTGAATTTCTCTTTCATTTCGTGAAAATCTTAGCACACGAGTTTCTCTTTTGAATTCGTGACGTGTGACTTTTCTACAATTCGTGCGTGAAACGGGGTCAGGATTTTCCAAAATGAGTAATGGCTGTCGGTAAACTAAAGAAATATGAATTTAATATTTTAAGTGAAGGCAGGGTTATTATGATTTTAAAATTCATATGAAGACCACTCCTTCCGTTAAAAAAAATCATTAGTCTTGCAATTTTTCTCTATGAGTTGCAAACTTTTCTTTTTAATGCACTGATTTCGGTTACTTAGCCTCGGATTCTTTTCCCCAAAGTTCTCGAATTCTCAGATCTGCTCTTAAAGCTGAGGTTTTCAGTCAAAAGATAGTGAAGCACGGCTTGACATCCTCTCGGTTTGTGTCTTGCGGAAGTCTCTGCTCAGGGTGCCCCTTAGCAATGTGAAAAGAGCTCTTGTATATCTCTGCAAACATGGACCATGTGCATCGAACCCAAGAAAGAACCGGATATATAGTATTTTACTCTCACTACGAAGAAGCATTTCATTGCTTCAATTTTTTTTCAAATTATTCTATTGCCTTATGTAGTAGCGTATGATCGCTGTCGTTTGAAAAAATTGGGATATGTAAGCTGATGTATCGCAAAAACTGACAGTACAAGTATCTTTTATTTCATTGCAAAATAGATTGTTATAAAACGACAACGACATCACCATTGCGAGATAAACCAGACCGTTCTCTGTGCAAAACTTCATCATTGCAGTTTCACTGTCTGGACTAACTCTTGCTTTTAATCAGACTACGTGATAACTAGAGAGGCTGCTGAAAACTGCGGTCAAAAGCCAGCTAATGATTTGCCTCATACAAGGCATCACCCGCCTTCAGGCCAGCTAAGCGGATGAAAATGCGGGGGGCTTAACGTCAAGGCTGGTGCCCCACATGCAGCCCTCAGATACATCTACTTTTCCGACACCAAAGAAAAATTCAACAAGAAATGGCTTGAGGAAATTCTGGTAGTTCAGAGAGTGGCACAGACATAATGCATAAAAAAATTGAAGTGTTTAATCGCCTCTTTCTAAACTTCATTTCGAGACTTTCTCAACGATATTCGCTTGCTCCCAGTGAGCAGAATAGCATTTTAAAAAATCACTGCGAATTATCCCGAAGTAAGAGAAGAAACAAGGTGATCATTAGTAAAGTTTAGGGCGACCTCTGGATTAACAATACGGCTCTCCCGCTGGGTTTTCTTTAAACTTCGCCGCAGGACATTGCTAAAGTAACAAATGAATAAAGGGGCTAAGTTTCTAAAGAAACTGTGGTGCTGCGTCGGTGGGAGAGTAAAGCAGGTAATTTAGAGTTAACAACTGAGTTGAAAACGTAAATTGGCTAGAGTTCTTGCGGAGTTCTAGACGTGTGATTGATGTGAAGATGAATACGCAAAAACGCAAAGACATAGTCATTAAAGCGGCCGACAAAGGCAATGTTTACTACAAACCTACAGATTCACATAGTTACTTGTTGTATTCATCTTCACATCCATCACACGTCAAGAACTCCATACCTTTCTCACAGTTTCTCAGACTTCGTCGTTTATGTGGTGACGACTCTGATTTTTCCGAAAAATCAGAGGCAATGTACTAGTTTTTCGATAAACGTGGCTATCCTGTTTCTGTCGTTCAAGCGGGCCACCACCGTGCCCAAAAAATTGATCGACAGTCAGCACTACAAACGGCTGAGAGGGAAAACACTGACCGCATTCCATTCACTCCTATATTTCACCCTCACAACCACACAGCCAAATCTATCATTCTTAAAAACTTTAAATTACTCCAAAACGATTCGGAGACTGGCGCTATCTTTTCGCAACCCCCACTTGTTTCATTCAAACGTGACAAAAACACAGGCAACTTTTTGGTCAGAAGTTCATTTCAAACCAGTGACCGATCTGGAACTTTCAAATGCGCTCGCTCACGATTTAAAAATTGGCCTTTCATTCATAATGTAGAGAAAATATCGGGAGCCAAGAGATCCATTAAGATCACTGATCACTTTACGTGTACCTCCGCCAATGTTATTTACTGCATAACTTTCACTTACTGCAATAAGTTATACATTGGCGAAACATACAGGAAAACGACTAGGTTATTGTTTCCGAGAACACCTTCGCGACGTGGAAAGAAATGACGAGGACGCATCCAAACCAGTTGTTAGACACTTTAATCTCCCTAATCATTCAAAACAGCACATGGCAGTTTGCGGCCTTTCCTTACATCTATGCAGTTCGGAAAGCCGCAAAACACTAGAACAAAAATTTATCTTCGAAATCGGCATCGCAAGTTCAACTACTTAAATATTCGTTGTCGGTCACCAGGTGGATTTGACTGAGTAAACGTCTCAGTTTCTTATTCTGGTTGTCCCTCCTCTTATTACAGACATTATAATACTAACCGCCTTTTCATTTTTTCCCTTTCATCACGAAAACATAGCACTTATTATATTTCCCTTTTTTTTTTGACTGTCTGATTGGTTATTTCAACTCCATATTTTGCATAAAGTGTTTTCCCTGGGGACTTCCATGCAAATGAATAACCAGCTACTTCGGATATTGAGATTCTAGTCTAAATACTATTGTTACTTGATCAACTATCAATCCTGTATAAATAGCAACAGCATTAAAGTTGCTCAAAAACCTTTTCAGACTTAAGGGCATGTTTTCGCCAAACCTAAGGATCCTGTCACTAAAGAACAACGAACCAACACTATTTATTCTATTCCGTGTAATGACTGTGATCACGAGTTTACATGACAGATCAAACGTCAGTTTGGTACACGTTTGAAAGAGCATCAAAAAGCGCCCTTTAAATCGTGATGATGGCGGCTTACTAGCTGACGCCTATTAACACCTCGTAGAAAAAAGGGCAACTAGTTAGTGAGCATATAAAAGAACCTCTTGTTGCAGCGATTAGATCATCCCTGATGAAGGCACTAGACAGGAGTATCGAAACGTTGGGTTTATGAATTGTAACATCTCGGTTACATTTATTAAATTTTTTAAACCAGAGTAGCATCAAACCATGTTTTGATTGTCCACCTGGTTGCCTTTTGAAGTTTAATATAGACGTTATAACACTTCTCGCCTTCCCCTTTTGTCACAAAAACAAAACATTCACCGTAGGATGCCATATTTTACTTTTTTTGAATGTCTGATTGGCTATCTCTACTCCATACTTTGCACAATGTATTTCGCTGGCGACTTGACATGCAATTGAGTAATCAAATTGGATTATGATTGTAAGACAGTTTTGAGATTCTAGTCGAAACATTATTGTTAATCGATCAAACATCAAACCTTCTCAGAACATAAATTTTATTGAAAATAAATTTGCCAAGCAAATGGTATCATAATCAGAAACACCGAGCAGTCACGCATCTCAATTTCATAATCTCTTAGAGATTTCTCACGAAAATTTGAATGTTTACTTAGTGCCAGTTGTGGTGTTAAAACAAAATGCTTGGGGAAGAGCTCCCCATTCTGGTCACTTAACTTCTTCTAAAGTAAGTTTTAGTTGAGAAAGATTATTTTAATCTCGCAATAGACAGACAAGGCATGTAATAAAGTGGCCGTAAGCGTAAAATTTTATAGATTTTAACCATTCGTCGCATAAAAAGTTAACCGTAAGTATTTTCTCTATCAAGAGGAACAGAAGGAAATTAATTGTTAGCCGTGAATTGGCCAAAGTTTTAACCGTTAGCCGTAAAAGCCATCACTTTAATGAGACCTTCATACTCCACATGTACAATAAGGATTTTGCACGATCTGAGTTATCGTTTCAGTAACATTAACTTCTTACTAACCGAGCGTAAGTGCCTCACCGAGGAATTTTGGTTAGATTTATTGACAGTACAGACCGAGCACAGCGAGGTCTTTACTGTCAGGAAAGAGGGCCAATATTCCCAAGTACGACTGGAGCAAGCGTGGGTGGCGCATTTAGTTAGTGGTTCATTTCATGGCACTCAGACCAAACTTGCTTATTTTAAATTTGTTGCCTTTTGCGACCTAAAAGACATGGCCTATGACGGGAGACGGTCCGTATGGCAGAGTATGGACCAAGTAAGAAACAGTCAGAATTCTCGGATTTACCTCAAGACTACCTCGCCATATAATACATCATAACCAAAAACCTTGACTTCAAACGATAGTAGCGACCTAACAGTAGGAAGAAAACTCGGCAACGAAACTTTTTAGAAGGAATGGGCTGATAATAATAATTTTCGAAAGTTCTTCGCAAGTGAATGAATCAAATTCAAGAATTTACTGAAGCAAGCAGCATTAAAACAGTCACAGAGGAAAATAGGAGGAACAAACAAGTCACGACTTAGTTTTTTTTCAAACAAAACATTTTTATTTTTTAAAATAAATGAAAAATTATAAAATTAAGGTTAAAAGTTGAAATTGAAAAATTAGAATTAAAAAAAATCGGATTCAATACTGATTTAGGTTCAGAATCTTCGATTTTGAATTTTTGACTAAGTAAAAAAATTAAAAAGTTAAAATTGAAAAATGAAACTTTAAAATATCATATCTGCTTCATATTCAATTCTTATTTACATTAAGGTTTACCGATTTTGTATTTTGACTCAGTGAAAAATGAGTCAAATTAAAAATTAAAATTTGATCCTCCTTTCAAAACACCAAACAGCAGGCGTTATCTGAGGCCCAGAATTTCACTTATTTCTGCTTACGGCCCTCTGATAAGGCCTAACCCGATTGTTCTCGGCAATTTTTGGGCAACGTTTGGCTTTGGGAGAAATTTTTGTGGCTCTATCAACCTCAAGTAGTTTTCGCCTTTCTGAGCAATTTTTCAGCCACTTTCAGGTTTAGAGCAGATATCAAGCACGATAAAGTCAAAGTTTCCTAAAAAAAAAAAAAGTCGACCTATGCAATTTCGTACGTTTCGCCGGCCTATTGTCCAATATTAGAACGGGTAATCGACAAAGATGGCAAGATACCTGTCTTTGTTAATTCATTTTCCATGAACAGATATGGATGTTTAGAAAGAATATAGCTTTTAATAAACGTCTATGTGAACATATTTGGGAGGTCCCTTTTCAAATGCGGCCTAGTTCACCCGGCTTTGAACCGAGAGAAGGGAGTTCGAATCTCCCAAAAACCTTCACGTTTAAAATATACATATACCTTAGAAATTGCTCCAGTATATTTTGTTTATTTGCTGTTCATTTGCTGCTTAGTTGACCATATTATTTGCATTTCGTACTATGATTGTATTTTCATCTTTTTGTCACATCTTACACATACGTAATCTTTTTGTTGCCATTTCTTATGATTTCTTTTGATTCATTATCTTTTCATCATTTGTCAATCCTTCTGATACATCACTCGATTTAATGATGTCACAATTAGTTGGTATATTATCTTTTCCAATACACTTGAATTCATACTCACAACCATCCTTGCTCGAAGTTCCTGTTTTGCATTTATTCAAAGGCTCACAGACCATCTTTATGATACCTGCATTAATTTTAAGATGCTGTTGCACAGCATATATAGGGAATAATACATGGGCGCGCGTAGATATGGAATTTCTCTTCGAGTTGTTAACTCGATAGCTCACGAGTGAGCGCAGTCTAGTTGAAAACAAGAAGAGAAATTCCATATCTAAAAGCGACCATGTATTATTTTTTTATCATATAAACACAATAGCCAATCAAATAAGCCACTTCATTAATGAATGAGAATAAATGAATCGACAATCCTCGAATAACAATCGTAGAGTGCGTTGACGCTGACTCTTAAGTTGGAAAAATTCGTTGAATCATGATTACAAGAACAACTATGGTCGTAATTTTCAATTTACAAAACTCTCACTCATTGACTTTGTCCTTACCGACAGAAGAAGTCTTTCAAGTAAACGGCCAAAATCGGCCAGTGGCAAATCTTCCAGTTGTCGATTTTCATTCTCAGCCGAGAGATATGCTAACACCAAAGCCACTGAATACGCAACTTTCGGTTTTTCTTTTAGTATATTGGTTTTCTTCCCCTTCTAGGAAAGTTTGAACCTCATTGTCTGTCAGCAATACGGATTTTTTAGTGTTTTAGTCACCATAATCCGATAAAGCTCTGACAAACAACTTGTAGTGAGAATCGTAAAGGCTTTGCCGTTCATTCATCAACCTGACCGAGTGGCGCCAAAGGCGAGTGACGTGTAAGCAGCTGATTGGCTATGTCAACACACGTGAAAAAATACGATATTTTTTCACGTGAGTTGTCATGGCTTTTCTCAGGGCCGGAAATTCTTGTATAACACCGCGGTTTATGTGATAAAAAGTGTTATAATATGAAGTTTCATCTATACTTTGGTTAATGACCTTCACACATCTCTTATACGTATGATTATTTTTTGTAAATGCATAATCACGATCTTTGGCTGACTTTTTATAATTCTGTTGTCGAATCATTAGTTATATATTACATATTCTGTTATCTTTTTTTATTATTTATATGATCATTCAATTTGTCTTCTGTTATAACAGCATTAAAACATTCCCAAACAAAACGATGAACATAATACGTTTTTTGATATTTACTTCCATATTTACTCACCATGCATCCCAAATAACCACTTGACCAATCATTATCAGTGAGAGGTATTTCTTAACAATATTTATTATTTGCTCATTTTGATTTGCTGATATAAATTGTAGACCGGCTGATAATTATAAACGCATTCATCTATTACAATTTTACTGATTATAATATAGTAATATAATATTTCTTTATATCTTTATCAAGGTTTAAAGAAATGTTATGGAAGATGAATATGAAAAATATCATCTCAAATAATTATATAAATATGAATAAATCAATCAAAAGACCCTTCAACACAATTGAAAAACACAGGCAAAGCGATTGAATTTAATCTTAAAAACAATTAGATGAAATGAAGAGACGAATTTAAGAGATCCTCGCAACATATCCCTTGACTAGTGAGGTTATCTTGTTCAGTTTGAGAAGTGGTCTGCCTCAAAATACGGAAGTCTTAATAATTAATGCATCTTATACACACTTTAGATCAATTAAAATGCTCTGCGCACACTCGCCTAATACTCAACGAGATCAGAATGACAATAATACATCACTTTTCCCAGCGTAAGTTAAAACATGACTCATTTGACATGAACGATGGAAAAAGTTGTCATAATGGCCAATTCAAAACTTCAAATAAACAGTAATAATCCATTTTATCAGAGTCATCACTTTGTTTTTGACAGTCGATCATAAGAACAATACTCACAAACTAAGTTAACCTTTTCTTACATCTTTTGTTTAACAATTGCACGCCTCCCTTTCGTAATTAGTCGACAATCCTTTTCTCAACAAAACAGACAGAATTTTTAAAATTAGTTTCCAAAAAGTTACATAAAAGTCCCCCACCCCCCAACAATGTTGAAATACAATTTTGATTATTATGCTAAACCCAGGAATGTTGTCACTCATTGTCACCCCAAAAATGATTGTCATATGACAATCTGATGACTAATTTCCGGGGGAAAGTCCCTCATGTATTACATCATAAACTTCCTGTTTTTGTGTCACCCAATGGGCAAATACCGTGAGATCATATCGCTATTCTCCTATAGTATTCCAACGCTTTGTGGTTAAAAAATGATTCCATGAAATGATTCCATGAAATGATTTCATCACATAGTTTATCAAATGATTCCATCAAATGATCTCATCAAATAATTCCATCATATAGAAGGTAGTATAGAGGGTTGGCATTTTGTACAAGATCACTTTTTCAAAGTGCTTTGGTACCGCAAACTACTATACTACATAAACACAGGTAAAGAGAAATTGAAGTAAATGTCAGAGGCTGTTTATGTGTTAATAAGTTGGCGTTTGTTATAACTTCCTCATTTATAGTGTGACAGTGTGAGAAAACGAAAGCGATGAAATTTTGTGCGCTTATCTTTCTGGTTTATCTCGGAATTGGCGCTGATGCTGGCAAGAAAAAGAAACTTTGCCGCCGAATATTGGACAAGTTGTCAGATCTTGAGGACCTGATTTAAAAGAAAAAGTACTGCTGTCCGCCAGGTAAGATGTAGAAGATCTTTTTTGTCGTTTTAACGTTACTTTTACATCACCGCTTTTTTTGGTCCGTCGGTTCTGAATTTCGGCTGGATTAAAAGTTATTGCCAACATAGTTTGGAATTTTGGTAGTTACCCAGTTATGATCGATTGCCTGATAGTTTTTCTCATCTCTTCAGAGCTAACACCCACAAGTTCCTGCAAAGAAATATATGAAAAAGACAGTTAAGGAACGAACGATCGTTAAATTTGTGCCTGAACGAGGGTGGGTGGCAAACAAACATATCGGCAAACAAACATATCGTGAAAATCCTTCTACAAAAAATTGCGCACTGGAGAAAAAAAAAATATACAAAGTTAAAAGCGCAAAAAAAAAAAAAAAAAAAAAAAAATTATGCGACTTGAGAATTCCACATCTCTTCCCCTTTACATGTAAGGACCAGTGTGAGTGATTGATTGTTCTCTAATATCGTGATGGTGCGGATCTGGGCTCCTGTTTGGCTACACATCAAGAGCACAGTTTAAATACCTAAATAGCCTTGTAACAAGCCTTCACCCGTTGGAAATTGTGACACGTCTCCGTCCTGTTAACCCTGATTTTGTTTATCTCAGTATTATTCTCACTGACCGTAATAGCGCTGAGCCAAGACTTCCCCGCGTATTCTTTGCGATGTCACGCAGTGCTACTTTTTTTTTGCGTCTCGTGACATTCCAAAGAACTACCTCGTAGGATTCAAAGAATATAACACTCTGATGCTCTCTCATTGGTGCCAGCCCGAACAAGGCGTATAATCTCAAGCTTGGGAATAAATATCTGTCTGTGTGTTGTTCCATGGATGGGGAGCTCGGAGACTGCGGTGGTGGGGGATGGACGCTGGTCATGAAGATTGACGGTGCAAAGGTACAGTGGAACCCCTCTAGACTGGACACCCTTGGGACCGTAGTTTCTCAAGAATGTCGAATGAAAACTTTGACTCGCTTCTTTCACTCCTGTTTGCTTCCCATTGTCTCTTTTAAGTCAGTGAATGTTCTATAGATCATATTAAAGGGCCACGCTCAACCAGCATGCAATACGGGCGTAGTGGACACTCTCGGTATTTTCTGGCGCGAGTTTGATGAAGCACTCATAGAGCGAAGTAAAGCAAAACTGGGGCAATCCCAGATTACTGTAGACACTAACTTGAAAAGTGCCTCATCTTGCAGCACAACTTCAACTACGATTCAAAAGCGTGGTCTTCCAGGTCTTCAGTCTCTCCCGAAAATGGAGACCCTGTTACCAACGTACTGGAGCACGTCCTTTACCAAGATCTGTCTCGGCATGAAGGTCGATGGAAAAACCAGGTTCTTGCGAGTGAATAGGGCAGCAGCCTCACTGTATGCCCTCGTTGCTGATGGTCAGTACCGTGAAATCTCGCTGGGTCGTGATGCATGGAAGGGAGAGGTTGGTCCCAAAGCCTCCCTCCAGCGCAACTGTAATCGAGAAGGGTCCAATACGCAGGGTAATGTAAGTTCTAATCCTAAGATACGAATTGGTATCATCGCTAACGAGCAAAATGAATGTAATTCCCCTGATTCTAGAATCGGGTTTGGTGAATGGGGAGTGGTAGCCGAAGTCCCGTGCGGAAACGTAGCCAGGCACGGCGGGGACAACGGAGACCAAACCATGAGAGCCTTCGGATACATCTTCGTTCAGTAAAGACACTGAACTGCTCTACTCAAGGGAAAAGCTGCATACGACATAAAGCATGCTCTTATCTCAGTAATGGGCATTTTAAAAGTGGTTTTTTGCTTTTGCTATTAAATGAATGGAAAATAAAAGTGGGTCAATGAATCAAAATGATGGCTCTTAATTTGTGTGTTGTAGGTACTCGAAGGAGAATCTGTCTTGTAGGTGTATAACTTTTACTCCCTCTTAGAAGTTGCTTTCCTTAAACCATATCAATACACTGTCTTTATGGGAGCCTTTTTTTCTCTTGACAACATAATTCGTTCAGCAAGGGCCAAATTCTAAAAACTAAAATTACACAAAATAAATGGCAGAAAATGACAGACCTCTCGTTATTTATCGCCTGAAGGAGAGGGGTTGGGGTCCTCAGACCGAAAGATATAAAAACAGTGAATATACCTACCATATCTTTGATTCATCCACTATGTCGTCAAATAGACGCCTAACTCGACCGACTTCCGTAATCGTCCTGCAGTCCCGTATCCTTTTTATGGGCACAATCAGTAAACAAGCGACAAAACAGTTAGGACCTGATTTGTTTTTTCCGCGCTTCTTGCGAAGCAAAAATCATTTCTTTTGCAAAATTTCCTTGTAACATGATTTCTCAGTGTGTATTTGCCACCCTCCTCGGCCCCACACTAGTTCCTTATTTTGTCGGAGCCTAGGCCCCAACGTAATTAAGTTTTGATTGACACTTCACGCAAGTTATCATGCATGTTGCTTTTGAGGGGATGTTTTTTCTTAGAAGAAGGTGTAAAAAAGCACTGAGTGAAATGGAACAAAAAAAATTAAACTATGAATGGTGTTTTCAAAGCCCTTCATGCTGGAGGGCCGGGGAGGAATAGATTAATTTATTTTCTATCTTCTTTAGTAGCATTTATGAAGAATTTCATTAAAAAAAAAATTCTCACCTATAATTTATTAGAAATTACGACAAATAAATTGGTAGAGTAATGATGGATTTATTGGATGAGATGTCTACTGAAAAGACAACGTTGTGAAAGGAAAAGGATGGACAGTTTTATTTTCACCAAATAACGACCAAAACACAGTTGACAGTTGAATGCAAGATTAAAGAGCAGAAAAAATAGCCGCCGAATACAAGCAACATGAGCCTAAGAAAAAAAAGGAAAAAAAAGGAGTCCAATTCATGATCCGTATGGAGCGAACAGATCGTTAAAACGCCATGGCCAAAGCTTTAATGAGATTCACGGATCGTCAACACAGCCTTACGACTCGTGAATATATTTGACGATCCGTGGTACTGGACATGCATGACCGAGGAGAGAGAAAATTGCGCGTCATCAATTTAATTTCTGACCACTTTTTGGTATATTAACAGGAAATAAACTAATTTTGTTATTGTTGTGTGGTAAATACTTAAACAGTTATGCACCTCAGGGTCGGTTAAAGTCCTAGATATCTATCTCGCCACTTCGCAGCTCGGTTAATATCTACTTCCATTCACCTCCACTTCGGTGAATAAATAACTCACCTGCATTTTTACTGGCACTGTGAATTGATTAATAACGGTAATAGGACTGAGTGGGTCTGTAATCATACGGGTGATTAACCAAATCGGACTTTGACTGTAGACCGAATTGGACGACACGAAGTCCCGTTACCATTATAAATCGGGCAGGTGATAATCAATCACGTTCGAGAATTTATAGTTCTAGTTTTAATTAATTGCCTAACAATATCTTCAGGGCCAACTACGCCTGCAAGTTCCTCGAAAGAAATATGCGACAAGGACAGGCAAGGAACGAGTGTGGGGTCAGGGCGGGCTGGCAAATACACACTGAGAAATTGTTACATGGAAATTGTGCAAAAGAGATGATTTTTACAAAGCAAGATGCACAGAAAAAACACATCAGGCTCTAACTGTGTTTGTCGCTTGTTTATTGATTGAGCTCGTAAAAAGGAAATGGGACTGCACGACGATTACGGAAGTCGGTCGAGTTCGGTGCTTATTCGACGAGATACTGGATGAATCAAAGGTATGGTAAATATATACATTGTTTCTGTATTTTTTTGGTCTGGAGACGCCCCCTCCCCTCCTATAGGCAATAAATAAAGAAAGGTCTCATATTCTCTGCCATTTATTTTGTGTAATTTTAGTTTTTAGAATTTGGCCCTTACTGAACGAATTATGTTGTCAAGAGAGGAAAAACACTCATAAAGACAGTATGTTGATATGGTTTAAGGAAAAGTAACTTCTCGGAGGGAGTGAAAGTTATACACCTAAAAGACAGATTCTTCTACAAATCAACTCAAAAATACAAGAGACAATATTTTCATTCATTAACCCACTTTTATTGTTCGTTTATTTCATAGCAGAAGCGAAACCCGACGTCTTAAATCCCCATTACTGAAATAAGAGCTTGATCATTGCTCCATGTCGCATGCAACTTTTTCCTTGAGCAGAGCAGTTCAGCGTCTTTACTGAACGAAAATGTATCCAAATGCCTTGATATTTTTGTCTCCGTTGTCCGGTGAATGCGAGGCTCCGTTTCCACACGCGTTTTTGAATCCTGACCCTCCTCCACCAAATCCGATAAAGGAATCAGGGGTATGACAATCTCCTTCTTGATTAGCGATGATTCCAATTCGAACCTTCGAAAGAGCGCTATTACTCACCCGCGAATTGAAGCCTTCTTGATTACAGCTGCGCTGGAGGGAGGCGTTGGGACCAATCAGCTTCTTCCATGCATCACGGCCCAGCGAGGTAGCACGGTATTGACTGTCACCAATGAGGGCATACAACGAGTCTGCTTTCTGATGCAGTGGCAAGAACCTGGTTACTCCATCGACCTTCATGCCAAGGCAGATCTTGGAAAAGGACGTGCTCCAGTAGGTTGGTAACAGGGTCTCCATGTGATCTAATCCGGTATCTCCATTTTCGGGAGAGACTGAAGACATTGAAGACCACACTTTTGAATCGTAACCAAAGGTTTGCTGCGAGAAAAAGGAAATTTTCAACTTAGTATCCAGTGCATTGGAGAAAAGGCAATTTTCAACCTAATGTCTATAATAATCCGGGACTGCACCAGTATCGCTTCTCTTTGCTCTATGAGTGCTCATCAAACTCGCGCCAATCTCTCACCAGGTCAGGTGCCTCAATAGACGAATTTTCAACTGAATGTCGAAAGTAATCAGAGATTTCATTGGTTTTGCTTTACCTCGAATTGTGATTGGTCCAGAAATTAAAACTCGTGCCACTCAACCGATCAGATGTAAAACTAACACTTAACACGACCTGGTCGCCTGCGTTTTCCCGTGCTTTAGGCAGTTTGGTTGTTTTTACTATGAGTTCACATTGGTTGTCCGGGATATTTTTCTTTCTTTTGATTGGCCGTTGTGATTACTTTGGTTTCGGTCTTACGACACTGAAAATCTAAACTGAATCGCTCATAATGGACGACGTTTCCGGTCTGTATAACAGAATCAAAGGCAAAATTGAAGAATTTGTAAGACGGCCAAACAGCTACGTTGAACCACGATCAAGACAATACATATTATCTTGCCACGATGCAATCACTATTCACGGCTGAAATATCAGACTCAGAAGTTATATACTTGACAAAAGTGTACAAAAGCAAGAGATTTAACAGGGACTCGATCCTTGACGTCGAATTGTATTACAAAGAGACGGAGACCTTCGAATTCTAAAATATATTTATTCGTGTCAGTGAAACGCCGGTGTCATTCACAAGGCGCAAAAACAAGAATTCGTAAAAGAAGTGCTTCGCCTCCTACGAATAAATTCGTCACGCTCCACTTTTAATAAAAACATTCAGTGTTTCAAAATACGCTTAAATAATAAAGAATAATGAGAGGAAATTTTGGAGAAATGCATCTCTGAATTTGATCTAACCGGGAGGGAAAGGTTACTCAAAAACTTCCACGGAATTAGACTTGCGATGGATTATAAATGTTTCCCCGTTTGACGGTCTTTCAAGCGCCGAGAGGAACCTTCTGTTTGATTTTCCTGCGAAATGCTGTGTAGCAGGGCCTCAAAGGACTCGCTGTTTGTTTTCTTGCCTTATCCCAAGGCTTTCAGAATTGATCTAACAAACCATATAATATGGTGGCTTTCCATTGTGCAGGACGGCCTCTTTTCGATGGCTTTATTTTCGCAAACGCGGAATCAAACGACAGAAATATGTAGAAAATAGACGATAGACACTTTAAGAAACTAGATGAGGGTATTAAAAGCCGGTTCTCGATCATGGTTGCATAGTGTTAGTCGAATAATATCACACACACACGGTAGACTTTCCTTTTCTGTAAGTACAGATGATAAAATGATTTGGAGTGCAATTTGGTATTGGTAAGCACGAGGAAATTTTTCAAAGACAAGAAAATTGCACGAGCCCGCAGGTCAAGTGAAATTTGTAGTCTTTGAAAAATTTTCAAGTGCTTATCACGACAAATAGCCAGAGAAACCATGTTACTGCTTTTAATAATGTACATGAAAAAGAACATCAAAGAAGTCAAGACAGATGAACTTTTAAAGCGTGCACGCGCTATTTGTAATTTGCATTCCTGTTACAACTTTGCACTCGTGTTACATGAGAATGCATTTGTTTTCAGCCAATTAGAAGCGCAAGTAGATTATTATACAGAAAATACTAAGAATGTTCACTATGCCCGCATTGCATCCTGGTTGAGCGAAGACCTTTCATGTGCTCCATAAAACATTCACTGATTTAAGAGAGACAATGGGAAACACACAGGAGTGAGAGAAACGAATCAAAGTTTTCATTCGTTACATTCGAAAAACAATGAATTGGTAGGGTTTTGGAACCTTGAACATGTTTGAAATACCTTTGCACCGTCAGTCTTCATGACCAGCGTCCATCCCCCACCACCGCAGTCTCCAAGCTCCCCGCTCATGGAACAGTACACAGACACATCTTTATCGCCTAGCTTGAGGTCATACGCCTTGTTTGGGCTGGCACTAATAAGAGAGTATCAGTGTGTTATGTTCTTTGAATCCTACGCGGTAGTTCTTTGGAATGTCACGCAACGCAAAAAAGAAGCAGCGCAGCATGATATCGTAAAGAATACGAGTGGAGAAGTTTTTTCTTGGCTTGGCGCTATTGCGGTCAATAGGAATACTACTGAGATAAGCAAAATCAGGGTTAATAGGACGGAAACGTCTTAAAATTTCCAGCGGGTGAGGGCTTGTTACATGTGCAGCCAAACAGGAGCTCAGAGCCCCGCTAGCAGGATATCAGAGAACAAAACCAACAAAGCCAGTCTACTTTATATTCTCTTGAATCACTCACACAATTCCTGGTATCGATTAGGAAAAATATAAATCCCTGGATAAAAACCGGAACTCTATGAGACATAATGGAGCAGTCAATAGTCAGCGCCAGGCTGGAAGGGGAAAAGAGAAGGGGGGGAATGTCGGAGAGTTAAGGTGGAACACAAGGTTTTTAAAGGGCAACCGAGGGGGGGGGTTGTCAGTCTACGCTATCAGAGTATAAAAGGGGGACTGTAGAAATTTAATTGCCAATGAGGGAGGGTCATCAGATAACCACAGAGCCTGAATGGGGCTAAGATAAATTTTGCTATGACCCCCGTAGGTGATTAATAATTACTGATCCTTAGATGCAACGGAGACGAGATGTGAAATTCTCAACTGGCATAAATTATTTTGCGTTCAAATTTTGCATGCATGTTTTTCTTTTTTCTTTCTTTCTTTTTTTCTTTCTTTTTTTCTAGCTTTTTTTCTAGCTTTTTACAACGTTGTTTTCTTTTGCGCACTTTTCTTGTAAAAGGATTTTCATGATATGTTTGTTTGCCATTTACCCTCGCTCAGGCACAAATTTAACGATCGTTCGTTCCTTACCTGTCTTTGTCGTATATTTCTTTGCAGGAACTTGGGGGCGTGACAGGCTCTGCAGGTATGAGATGAGAAAAACTATAAGGCAATCAGTCATAACTGGATAAATGTGGATATTCCAAATTATGTTAACAACAACTTTTGATCCAACCAAAATTCAGAATCGACGGACCGACGAAGCGGTGACCTTAAAAACAGAACAGAAACGATCTTCTTCACCTTACCTGGTACACAGCAGTCCTGTTTCTTGTTAATCAGGTCCTCAAGATCTGACAACTTGTCCAATATTTTGCTGCAAAGTTTGTTTTTTTTGCCAGCAACAGCGCCAATTGCGAGATAAACCAGAAAGATGAGCGCACAAAATTTCATCGCTTTCGTCTTCTCTCTGCCTTGAATACACTTGATTTCAGCCAGACTCGAAGATTAGTGAGGATGTTTTAACAAACGCCAACTTTTAAACACATGAATCGCCGCTGACATTTTCTACAATTTCACCGTACTTGAGTTTATACTCAAGCCTTATGATTTGTTGCGAGAATTTCTACATTCATCGGGCTTATGTTAAGAAGCTATTTTTACCAATTTCCTCAAACCAACTGACCAATAGCAATTCTGATTCATAATGGTATTCATGCTTTAGACGAAATTCGAATAACCATAGATACTGACGACGCAAGAGCCAAAGTAATTTATCAAATCTTTCAAGCCTAATTATGATGGCAAACGTGATGTGTGATTAAGGCCAAAATTAATGCGACACACGAAATTTCCTTTAAGGCGAGCGTTATTCGTTCGTTAATAAGTTATGTAAGTAATTCATCAAATCTTTCAAGCCAAATGATAATGGAAAACGTGATGCGTGTTTAGGGCCAAAATTAATGCGACACACGAAATTTCCTTTAAGGCGAGCGTTATTCGTACGTAAAGTTATGTAAGTAATTTATTAAATCTTTCAAGCCAAATGATAATGGGAAACGTAATGCGCGTTTAGGGCCAAAATAAATGCGACACAGGAAATTTCCTTTAGGGCGAGCGTTATTGGTACGTAAAGTTATGTAAGTAATTTATTAAATCTTTCAAGCTAAATGATAATGGCAAACGTGATGCGTGTTTAAGGCCAAAATTAATGCGACACGTGAAATTTCCTTTAAGGCGAGCGTTATTCGTACGTTAAGTTATGAAATAATTCATCAAATCTTTCAAGCCAAGTGATAATGGCAAACGTGATGCGTGTTTAGGGCCGAAATTAATGTGAGACGTCAAATTTCGTTTAAGGCGAGCGTTATTGTACGTTAAGCTATGAATCAGCGTTAGGCGTGATTTGCTGCCTGAAATATAAGTGACCCGTGAATTTTTACTTTCATTTCGTGAAAATCTTAGCACACGAGTTTCCTTTTTGAATTCGTGTGTGTGAATTTTCTACAATTCGTGCGTGAAACGGGGTCAGGATTTTCCAAAATGAGTAATGGCTGTCGGTAAACTAAAGAAATATTACTTTAAGCGTAGACAGGGTCATTATGATTTTAAAATTCATATGATGACCACTCCTTCCGTTAAAAAATCACTAGCCTTGCAATTTTTCTTTATGCAAACTCGAAATTTCGTTTTTTTTCTCTTTTTATGAGTTGCAAACTTTTCTTTTTACTGCACTGATTTCGGTTACTTAGCCTCGGATTCTTTTCCCCAAAGTTCCCGAAGTCTCAGATCTGCTCTTGAAGCTGAGGTTTGACGGCTTGACTCTCTCTCAATTTGTGCCTTGCGGAAGTCTCTGTTCAGGGCGCCCCTTAGCAATGAGAGAGGAGCTCTTGTATATTTCTGCATACAAGGACCATGTGCATCGAACACAAGAAAGAACCGGATATGTAATATTTTACTTCCACGACGAAGAAGCATTTCTTGCTTCAATTTTTTTTTCAGATTATTTCATTGCCTTATGTAGTAGCGTACGATCGCTGTCGTTTGAAAAAAATTGTGATGTGAAAGCTGATGTATCGCAAAAACTAACAGTACGAGTATTTTTTATTTCATTGCAAAATAGACTGTTATAAAACGACAACGGCATCACCAATGACGGGATAAACCAAACCGTTATGAGTCTTGAGTGCCTCTTACTTTTAATGAGACTACGTGATAACTGGGGAGACTACTGAAAACTTCGGCCAAAAGCCAGCTAATTATTTGCCTCATACAAGGCATCACCCGCCTTCGGGCCAGCTTAGCGGATGAAAATTCAGGGGGCTTCACGTCAAGGCTAGTGCCCCGCATGCAGCCTTGAGATACATCCACTTTTCCGACACCAAAGAAAATTCAACAAGAAATGGCTTGAGGAAATTCTGGTAGCTCAGAGAGTGGCAGAGACTTAATGCATAAACGAATTGAAGCGTTTAATCGCCTCTTTCTAAACTTCATTTCGAGACTTTCTCAACGATATTCGCTTGCTCCCAGTAAGCAGAATAGCATTTTAAAAAATCACTGCGAATTTCCCGAAGTAAGAGAAGAGACAAGGTGATCACAAGTAAAGTTTAGGGAGACCTCTAGATTAACAATACGGCTCGCCCTCTGGGTTTTTCTAAATTTCGCCGCAGGACATTGTTATAATAAGATGCGGAGCACGTGCGTCCTCCAGGGACCCGCTCCAGCAAGTTCAACTACTTAAATATTCGTTGTCAGTCACCATGTAGATTTGACTGAGTAAAAGTCTCAGTTTCTTATCATGGTTGTCCCTCCTGTTATTACAGACATTATAATACTTATCGTCTTCTCATTTTTTCCCTTTTATCACAAAAAAAGCACTTATCATATATTGGTCTCGATAGCTCGTACAACCGTCTCAGTCAATCAGATGAATAGCCACAACCAATGGCGAATTGGTCACCCGCGTTTTCCCGCGCTTCAGCAGTTTGTTTGTTTTTTCTTTGAGCTCTCATTGGCTCCTTGAGATATTTGTCCTCTTGTTGGCCACTTTGATTTCTTTGGTTTTTGGTTTGCATAGGCATAATCATAATCAAGAATATGTTCAGCTTTTTTTGTTGTATATTTGGCAATCCCATCATGTTAAAAGACCTTAAATAATAGATAATTTGCATTTTTATCAACTGAGTTGATAACGCTTCTTCCAAGGACGGGTCATTTTTTATCACCGGGGAGGGGAGGGAGGGGTGGTCGGAGTATCTTGGTTGTGTCAATGAAATTAAACTTGAAATTAAACTGATCTCCCTTACGGCTCTGTAGTATTATGATCCCCAACGCACCCACCATCCCCCCTTACAACATTAAATTTCCCATAATTCCCCTCTGTGTAGGAATCGTTGAACTTTACTTCATTTACAACTTCATCGGTGCAGTAGGACACTGCGTTTTGTTTATATCAGATTATTGTCTGAACCAGTTTGATCACGTGAATTTAAAAAAAGGATAAGTTTTTTTTCTTCGATTAGAGAAGGAGTCTTTTTTCTAGTGATGTTCAGAGCACGAAGTGATTTATACGATGAAGGAGTAATTTATGCGAGTTGTCTGAACCACGATTATTACACCCTGTTCGCGACGGGTGATCCCCCCCCTCCATTCCACTTGAAAATCCAGTGATCCCCAAAAATCCTCCAAACCCTGCTAAGAGTAAAGGGCTAACGCTCGAAACATTAGCTTTGTAATTTTTATACAGAGGCCAATTTTGCGTCCTCATCTTAGTTGATAACACTAGATTACCCTGTTATACTCTCCCACCGACGCAGCATCACAGTTTCTTTCAAAACTCACCCCTCTATCCATATCCTTATGTTTTGTTTAATGTTCCTTGAAATTCTCTTTTATAGCCACACCTTCCTTCTCATGACCCCATGAAAGCTGGGGGGTGTTATATCCTCATCGAGGGGGCACTTATTCATTAGCAGCTTCACTGTAATTTTGGCATTGGTTATCTCTTTTATGTGGCAAATTTTTTTCAAAATTGGAGCTGTTATCCTCCTTGCCCTCTGTGAAAACCAAAATGTTGTTTACCAGTACTTTGATCTAATGTTTTCTAAAATTTTGCCTCCGTTTCAAACTTACAATTATGTAGAAACTCTAAAAAGTTACTACATTGCTCATATGTAGGATTTGGAAAAGTTGTAAAATTATTTTGAGCAATAATCATTTCAGCTAATTCTTTAACGGAAGAGACTTTTGCATATTCTACAATTTCCTCATGATCGATGTTAGCAGGTGTGATCTGGTCCAAGTGTTCTTCCTCATTCACAGCTTGTACTGGGGGTATCGTCATGAAGTACAAAGTTACACATGAAGGGGCAGCTTCCAACAAAGTATTACAAAGCTTCTCTTGAAATGATTGGGTGAGAGAGCACGGAGGTTTCGAGTCATGAGGCTCATGACAATCCTTAGTTTTTTTTCCATACTCTGATTTTTGCAGTTTAACATCTTCCATTGGTACAGCATTTTCTGTAATTATTTTCAGTTTCACCCAAAGGTAGGATACTACGGTGGAAGTCTCCAGCTCATTCCTTCTAATAGTTGCATCCAAATCGCACAGAGCGATAGCTGTATGGCTACATGCACCATCAACAATATTAACCCTTATAACCCTCAGGGTGACTAGCATCTAATTTCTCCTTGCAATATCTCCCTTGAATCACATATGAAGGTCACAAGAATAAAGGAAATGATCACCTACAAAAGAAGCTCTTGATCGTGAAACAAATTCTCCTTGTCAGCACCTTAGGAATCGTAAGGTTAACAGTATGGAGATTATGCATACTTATGTTAGGTGTATAACGGGTTAAAAGAAACGAAATGACAGGACACTAGTCTCTTATATCTTAGAAAGTCAGCTCATTCGCACAGAAACCCAACAAACATGGCAATAAATTGGAAACCATAACTTTCATTCACTCGTAGAGAAAAGGAAAAAAAACAGCGCACACATGTGACTTACCCGCCCGACATTGAAAGCGTAGTATGCAGAGTAAATGCTTTCAATGTTTATAAGCACATTAAAACCCCAGTAGAAGTCTTTTCTATCTTCAGTCTTAGACCTGTCAGTTGGTTTTATTTTGAACTAAGAAAATTGCAGTATCCGGTCTGTTCTTCACATCCTCCACATGCCCGCCTACAAATAAGCGAAAATCCTCCAAGCTTTCATACGACCGTAACCAGTCTCTATCTCAACCATCTTTTCCAATCAGATAATGGTAACTATCAGGAAACCTATAGTAGAAAACCTGTAGTCTGTAGTCTTAAGCGAAAGTGGATGGGGAAGTTCATCCGGACAATGTTATCTTGGAATTAATCAAAAATAGAACAAAATTCTCGAACGCGATTGGTTATTACCAGCCCGATTTAAGCACTAACAGGACAGTGTAAGCGTCTTGCTTGTAACTGGAAAGTGTTATAGGACGATGAACACGTCATGCCTGTGTAAGTGGAAAGAACGCGTCATGTGCGTCAACTGTTCGGTAAAAAAACCGAATAACTTACAAATTTCTTGCATTTACGAGACCCGTGTGGTAGATTTACCTTGCTTGAATTGTTGTCTACTAGAATTTACCACCAGAAAATTGGGTAGTTTTGTGTTGAAAAATCTCAAAATTGTACGATTTAAAAAATTGAACAACACTTTTAGGACATGTTAACACTTCAAAATCATATTTACCGTTTAACATCAGTATGCATATTCTTCATACTGTTCTCTATACATTTCCAAAGAGGCTGACAAGGAGAATTTGTTTAATAATCAAGAGCTGCTTCAGTTGGTGATCTTCACCTCTATTCTCATGACTCTCACGTTTGATTCAGGGAGGACAGAGTAAGGAGAATTTAGATGGTAGTCACTCTTAGGGGTTAATGGATTAATGAGGATTACCCAACGTAGCGAAATCGCAGTTGAAGTCAGAAAGCTTGGTTTTGTTTTCAGCCATAATTCGCATCGCGTTTGAGAGTGAATTGTCATCAACTCTAAAACTAATTTCGTCGCTTGAAAGAATTACAAGCCCATTTTTTTAAAAAGAGTATTATTTGGCATGTTTTATTTTCATTTTGAGCTCAAAAGGTCGATCTCAGTCGGGATAGAGCGAGGAAAAAATCTTGCACATTTTAAAACTCACGGCTAAACTCAACGGGGACTTTCAGCCAAAGTGAAATTGCACACGTCATGTGATAGACGCACGGCCGTGCAATACATAAGGATTTTTATCATGGTAGCTCCCCAGGAAATAGGTAGGCCTTGCGCCCGCGCTATATTGTGATAATTTATGCTAATAACGATTATCAAAAATTGCGTTTCTAGCCAAACAGCGTGTTGATAAAATAAGGAGGAGTAAATCTTTGGCCGATTCTGGGAGTGAAAGTGATAAAATTTCAGAGAAATGCATCTAAAGAGACGTGATTTAGATTCATTAACCCACTTTTATTGTTCTTTCGCGTAAGTGCAAAAGCAAAAACCTACATTTAAAATCCCCATTACTGAAATTAGAGCATGATCATCGCTTTACGTCACATGCAACTTTTTCCTTAAGCAGAGCAGTTTAGCTTCTTTACTGAACGAAGATGTAGCCGAAAGCCTTGATATTTTTGTCTCCGTTGTCCGCACCCCACGAGGCTCCGTTTCCACAGGCGTTTTCGAATCCTGACCCTCCTCCACCAAATCCGATTCTGGAATCAGGGAAGTTGCAATCGTTTTCTTGATTAGCGATGATTCCAATTCGAAACTCGAGGTACGGTGCATAGTTCCTTGCGAGTTGAACCCTTCTTTGTTACATTTAAGCTGCAGAGAGGCATCGGAACCAATCAGCGTCTTCCATTCATCCCGACCCAGCGAAGTAGGACGGTATTCACCATCAGCAATGAGGTCATACAGTGAGGCTGCTGCCTTATCCACTTGCAAGAACCTGGTTACTCCATTGACCTTCATACCGAGACAGATCTTGGTGAAGGACGTGCTCCAGTAGGTTGGTAACAGGGTCTCCAAGTGATCCAACCCAGTGTCTCCATTTTGGGGAGAGAATGAAGACCTGTCATACCACCTGTTTGAACCATACCAGAAGGTGTTCTGCAAGATGAAGCAATTTCCAAGTTAGAAACGAAAATAATTCGGAATTGAATTGTTACTGCTTCCCTTTGCTTTATGAGTGCTCCATCAAACTTACGCCAGTCCCTCAACTGGTAGGATGTTATAAAAAAGCAATTTTCAATTGAAAGTAAGGCGGGATTACATTGCATTGTACTCTCTCAACCAATCAGATGTAACACTAGCACGAATCACGACTTGGTCGCCCTCGTTTTCCCGCGCTTTGGATGGTTTGCTTGTTTTCAATTTGAGTTCTCATTAATTGGCTCTCTAAGGTATTTTCCTTTCCTCTGATTGGCGTTTGTAAATACTTTGGTTTTGGTTGTCAATCTTAAAGCGCTCTAGAGTTAGTCTTGACTTAATCACTCGAGCCTTCCTGCTCTTTGAACAGTTTCCTTTTTTTGTTTTTGTTTTTTGTTTTTTGTTTTGTTTTAATTTGTTTACTTTAACTTGTCATTTGCCTATCGTGATAGTTTCATCTCCTCTGATTGTCTTAAAATTGTGATTACTTTGCATAATCAATCAAAAAGGGTGCTAGAGATACATGTCACTCTCGCCTCAAAGTTCAAAAAAGGCTGAGTCATGAAGTGAAGAAAATTTCGAAGGACATTCCTCTTGAAGGATGACCATATTCCAATATCTTTTATGTTTTGAGAATAGGAAAACATTTTGAGTAACTAAAATATATCTAGGATCGCTCAATGTAATCTCATGATTACTTTACAACAAACAGGAGTGGGCGAAATAAGAAACGAGTTAGTTTTCACTCAGAAAACTCGAAGAACAGAAGTCCATTGAATTGGTAGAGCTACGGAATCTCAAACATGCCTTTTCACCATCGATCTTCATGACCAGCGTCCATCCGCCATCTCCGCATTCTCCGAGCTCCCCACTCATGGAACAGTACACAGGCAGATCTCCATTGTCTAACCTGAGGGTATATGCCTTGTTGGAGCTGGCGCTGGGAAAAGAGTTGACTCTTACATTAATTTCTTGGACGGTCACGCAACGCAAAAATGAAATAGAACTACGTGAAATGGCATTGAAAAACACACGCACACATTTTTATTTTTATTTTCATACATATTTACAAGATATTCCTTTGACTCGCAGATAGCAAATGCTAATCGAGACGGGTCAATTTATTTTTCTTTCTTAACTAACTTAATTTGATTACACTGGAAATAAAACGGAAATGAAGAAATACAACATAAAAAGCCAAATGATACACAAGAAAAGAAAAAAAGGAAAATGACAGATGTTCATTGTAAAGGAGAGTAAGTCCTAGAGTTTTTAAGTGCACGAAAAATATTGTAGAACTGGTTCAATTTGGTTCAATTTTGCTGTGTTTGAATTTTAGCACTATGTCATCAGGCCTCATATAAGAATCTTCAGTATCTAGAATATTGAGAAGAGCTCTTTTTGTTTCTTTTTTTGAAAGATTTTCTTTGAGAAGTTTTTATATTCACTAGGTATCTCATTCCAGACTTTGACACCAACACGCGAAAAGGCCTTTCTTTGCATTTTAAGCCTGGACTACCCAACGTTTAAGAGTTGTGACGTTGATGAGCGAGTAGTATATGTATAGATGTTTGAAGTTCTCGTGAAAAGTTTTATGATGTTAGAAGGTGCACCGTTGTTATGAACATCGAGCATTAATTCACAAACTGCTTCATAATATAAGAAGGTAATAGGCAGAATTTTTGCATTTACATATAAGAAAGGCTGCTGAGAAGTCATGGTTTAGTACTATCACTGTCAATGAAATTACTAAAGACGTCTTCATTTTTTCAACAAGTAGAGGCTTGTTACATGGCTATGTAGGTATTCGAAATGGGTACTTGATGTGTATCTTAACGGGATATCAGATCCGCTCCGTTAATATAAGGAACCAACGCAGTTCATTTTCTCTTGAATCCCTCCCTAAAATTCCTATAGTATCGGTCAGCAATGGAGGCCACACCTTCCACCTCTAGATAAAAACTGACTCCCTGGGATTTCAATTTTATAAGTTTTTTTTCCATTCTTTCTTACAGGAAAAACTATTGAATATCTTATACGGATGTATTTTTTTTCCTTTCCTTAGGCACAATCCTGTAGCAGTGTCGTGGATCCGAAGTTAATACATGATTTCTTTCCCTTTTCTCTGCGCTTCTTGCTTTGACTAGTTTTCTTGCAAAAAATTTTCTGTGTGATTGTGATTGTTCGTTCCTTACCTGTTCTGGTCGTATATTTCTTTACAGGAACGTGGCTGGTGCCCTGAAGAGATCATAAGAACAAGTTGTGATGCTAATCGTCAGAGGTAAATCCAGGCTTCACATTACGTTTCCCGATTATTGTTTACATGTGGTTTTCCTATCGCTCTGACGAAGGGCTAACGCTCGAAACGTCAGCTTTTAAACTCTAAGGGACCTTAAGCAAACCACGACGATGACGGCAACGAGGACGTGGAAAAACAAAAGATCTAATCGGCAGAACAATAGCTCAGCACGTGCGTTTTAGTACTTTGTACATTTCTTGGCCATCCTATGTAACAACGTGAAATCACCACAATTTGCGTCGTCTGCGAACCGAAACCGCGACGGCAAATTGTTTTAATTTCCACTTGGAACTCAACGCTTCTTTTTCCTCTACGTTATGCTGAAGTTGAGGTGTGGCACCGTATGAGACGGTAAACAAATGCAGCCATTTTTTAAGGCAGAAATTTATTTTTTTAATCGAAGTCTTCCTTGACGTTGCCGTCCTGACTGCTTAAGGTCCCTAATACTAAATTATCCTGTTATACTCTCCCACCGACGCAGCACCACAGTTTCACCATCGTTTTGTCCTGAAAAAAGTTTCATGACCCTAGAGTTCGGTTTGAGCCGACGAACGAACGAAGTTCCTTTTAGTGCTTTTATTTTTGAATGATTGGCTTACAATAACGGAGGCTCTGGAAAAAGCAATTTAGAGTAAAAATCATCGAAAATAATTTCGAATGACGTTTCGATAACTCGTTCATCATTTTCAAATTCTAGAATTCAGACTACTGTGAACTGTGAGATACTTAGAATGCGTGTGAAATTTGAATCCGTTCTGAATTTACGAAATGGCTCAACGATAAATTTTCATGTAATTGAAATTGAAAACCGTGAGACAAATTTAAGGCACCTAGGGAAATGCAGAAACAGATGAAACGATTTTTCTCAGTGAACCTTACTCGGTGCTCAGCAGGATCAAGTCCTCAATATCTGACTACTTGTCCGTTTTTTTGTTTGAAAATTTCTTTCTCTGGCTTACCTGCAGCGGCGCCAATGGCGAGATAAACCACAAAGATGAGTGCACAAAAATCCATAGTTGTCTTTTCACTGTCTTAAGTACCTCCTGACTTCAGTGAGCCCCGATGATATCTGAGGAAGGTAAACCCCATTTTGTCAGTTATGACTTTCGCAACAACTTCTTCTTACTTGAGCTCATACTTTAGCCTTATTCTTTGCTGAAAGAATTTCTATCTTCGTCATACCTATCTTAAAAGGATGTTTGTAGCACTTTTCTGCAACCATCTGACCAATAAAAATTCTGCTTAATATTGACATTCGTGCTTCAGACGTATTATAAATTGTCTTTCTCACAGTTTAATTACCTCCTTGTTCCCGTTTTGGGTCAATACCCTCACAACCACTCTTAGAAGAGACTCTCTATTTAAAAACAGCATAAAGTTTCAAAGAGCAGCAACGTGTACAGTTTGCCGTGTTACAATAGATTATTCTAACAGCAACTTTTTAAAACTGTACAGCACTTTTTCTGCAAAACTCCGTGAAGGTTTCCATAACTCGGACAATCAACTTTCAACTTGCACGTAATCTTTTCTCGCGCCATCAACATTTCATATTTCTACCTGCTTAGTAACTTCTGTCTTAGTCGTTTTTCAAAATAAAGCATAGAGCTAAGCTATACTCTCCAAACGCTAACTCTAAGAAGTGGAAATCTAGCATCCTATTTTGACATGCTAAAAGTAACACTACGGCCTTTGCACTTTTATATTGCAACATGTAACGTAAAAAAAAAAACAAACAAACAAAGACATCCCTTACCTAGTGAAGTTATCTTGTTCAGTTTGAGAAGTGGTCTGCCTCAAAATGCGAAAGTCCCAATACTTGATGCATCTTATATACACTTTAGATCAATCAAAAAATGTTTTGCGCAAACTCGCCAAATACTCTACGTGATCAGGGTGATAGTATGTTATTCATTAGAGCATAAGCTTCTTCTATCTTTTGTCTATCAGCTGCATGCCTCCTTAGTAATTAGTCGGCAATCCTTTTCTCAACAAAGTAGACAGAATTTTTTTAAATTCATCTCCAAAAGTTACATCAAAGTCCTCTTCCCCCAAAAAATATTGCAATACATTTTTGACCATTAGGCTAACCCCAGGAGTGTTGCAACTCATTGTACTCTACCAGATCAGAGTCACAATGATACATTATTGAACCGAGCATAAGTTAAAGCATGACTGATTTGACTTGAACAATGGAAAAAGTTGTAATGAAGCCTAATTAAGAACTTCAAATAAACCGAAATTATTCCTCCTATTAGAGTCATCACTTTGTTTTTGACAATCGGTTATACAAATAATACTAACAAGCTAAACGTAATTATTCTTATTTCTCTTGTTTTACGGTTGACACGCCTCTCCTTAGTAAATGGTCGACAAACCTCTACTCAACTAAGTAGACAGGAATCTCCAAATTTAACTCTGATAAGAGGGTTCCATACACTTTTTACGTGTAGCGTGATTGGGCGTTTTTTTCTGTCGTGAATTGTGATTTGATTATTTTTTAATCGTGAATCATGCCTAAAGATAATAAGATCGTTTCCTTTCTACGTGAACGAGTGACCCCTGAACTTAGAACTGAATTACAAGTGATTCGTGAACCATTTCGTTTTGCGTGATGAATTCCTGGCTATTTTTAAATTGTTTTGAAAATGTATGTATTGTTCTTCGAACAGCTGTGGTTGGGTTTTGACCAGGGTTTTGACAGGACTTCAGATGAAGGACTTCAAATGGATCGATAAAACAATTGAACAAATGAGATAAGACATCATGTCATTTTTTGTCACACGCGACCGGTCAAGACTGAAATAAGTCAATTATTTCTTCAAATTGACTGCCTTGAATTTCGCGTGAACGTGAAAGGGTTTTAGATATTATTTGCGATACGTGAAAAGGCCAAATATTTTTACGTGACTGAGTTTTACAAAGGAGCATAGAGGACCTTCTTGTAAGTTACATGAAAAGTCCCCCTCTCCTTCTCCCTTCCCCCGCCAAACAATGTTGCAATACATTTTTGTCCAGTTTGCCAACCCCAGGAATTGCGTCATTCATTGCAACCTAAGTGATCAGAGTGACACCAATTAATATATCTTTCATAACTGATTTTTACCTGTGTAATTAAAAAAAAAATTACCATAATGGCCAATTTGACTTTAAAACAAACAGTAATAATTCCTTCTATCACAACAAGCACAAGTTTCCTTTTTCTAATTTCCGTTTTCTTATTATCTTGAAATTCAATGAAAAATTCATAAACTCATTTCAGAGGGGACATATAAAACGACTCATGCATTTACTGTGAATTTTGAACTTTGTTTTGCGACAATTCCTATCACCGTGAGAGGGTGCGTACAAGTTGCCACTTTGTCTCGCAATTCCGTTTTTTTTTTTCACCATGAGTTGGAAATACGGGAGCACTGGTATTACCCCTAAAATTGCTTATGAATTGTTGTATCCGGACTCGCACTGCAGGCTCCTAAATATTTGAAATATACACAGTGATACTCCGCACCAAAACTTTTCTTAAGACATACATCTTGTAAAATTGCATTAGGGTTGTTTTTCTGCGTAATTTTTATGTGGGAATTATTTCATTAGTATTTAACCTGCTGGTTTGATCAAAGCAGCGTTTGGCCACATACGAATGGATGGAAAAGTTTTAAGAAAAATTAATACTGATTCCCGTTTAGAACGCGACAGCAAACTTTGCCTTTCGCCGCGCTTTGAATCTTTGTAAGAAATATGTTTTATCACTCCATTTTCTAATTTAATCACCACAAGAAGTCGTATATGATAGCATTGAGTATTTAAAACGTGATAATGTTTATGATAGAACTTGAACTTTAACGTGAGCTAGATGTCGATTTGTCAATAAGTTTACAGTTACTTGTTATTTATTTCTAAGTATGAATATTCTTGAAAGCACTATTACGTGTATTCGAAGTTCTGTCACGTGCGATAATTTTTGCATTCGATTGAAACAGAGTTCACACGTTACTTTTGGTTGTTATTTGATAGAAATAAATATGTTCATCATTTCCTTTCACAAAGTTGCGTGTTCAATGGATATCCCGTTCAATTAATCTTTTTCACCAACACACCGAAATACTCCTGCTAAACGACCGATGTCGAAAGCGATAGTCAGGCGCGTACGCGAAACTCAAGGGGTGTGCCGTTGAAAATGGCTGATCTCAATACAAGCATTCTTGGACAAAAATTGTTGGACTCTTTTGTCCCCTTTTTTCCAACGCTCACGTTACGTGTATTCGGTGTTCCGACAAGTGCGTCGATTTTTTCCGCTCTTAATCCTGCATTCAATTGATACAGAGTATACTGGCATTACTTTTGGAAATTGTTTATAAATGCCGCCAAAGAAGGTAGAAATAAATTAATATATTCCTCCGCGGCCCTCCAGCCCAAAGGGCTTTAAAAACACCATTCCTAGTTTAAATGTTTTGGTCCATTTCTCACAGTGCTTTTTGCTAAAGCGAGAAATGCAGTCGTTATCTGTGCACTTCGCGCGGTGCTTTAAGAACGAAGAATACTTCTGTTGTTTGCGCACTTCGAGCGGTGCTTTTATAACGGGGAATACTTTTGCTGTTCGTACACTTCGAGCAGTGCTTTTAGAACGAGGAATTCTTTTGTCGTTTATGTGCTTCGAGCGGTGCTTTTAGGAGGAATACAGTTTTGCTGTTTGTGCACTTTGCAAATTGTGTTTTTTTAGTCAAACGAGAAATACTCTTGTTGATTATGCACTTCGCGCGGTGCTTTTAGAATAATGAATTCAATTTCTGTTTGCGCACCTTGCACAGTGCGTTTAAATAGAGCGAGGAATACATATTTTGTTTGTGTACTATGAGCGTGATCCACTCGGATCGTGGGAGTCGACACACGAAGTCATAAAAGACTCCAAGTCAGATTCACGTATAGTCTGGAAAACTTTACGACTCGTGAATTCA